TAAACGTGCACGGGCTTTGAAGCTTTAATGTATAGTCAATGGGTGCAGATTGACTGACGACCATGGCCGAGACTTTCTGGCATGTTGTAGTAGATATAACTCATGCAAGTCAATATGCACGCTTTCAAGGGTCTGGTGTATAGTCAATTGGTGCAAATAGACTGCCGACCATACCTGAGACTTTCTGAACATGTTGTAGTTGATAGATCATGCGAGTCAATACATGCACGCTTTGGAGGTCGATTTGATGTATAGTCAATTAGTGCAAATAGACCGCCGACCATGCCCGAGATTTTGAAGCGTTGTACTTGATAGCAGGGACGAGTGAAAATGCACGTGGCTTGATCTAATGTATAGTCGATTGGTGCAAATTGACTGCCAACCATGCCCGAGACTTTCTGGCACGTTGTATATACTAGCAAAGACGAGTAAACGTGCACGGACTTTGAAGCTTTAATGTATAGTCAATGGGTGCAAATTGACTGTCAACCATGCCCAAGACTTTTTGGCATGTTCAATGTAGTGGATAGCTCATGCGAGCCAATATGCATGCTTTTGGAGGTCTGATGTATAGCCCACTGGTGCAAATTGACTGCCGACCATGCCCGAGATTTGTTGGCACGTTGGAGTTAATAGCAGAGACGAGTCAAAATGCACGGGCTTCAAAGCTTAGATGTATGGTCAATGGGTGCAGATTGACTGCTGACCATGCCAAAGACTTTCCAACTGGGCACGTTGTGATTGATAGCAGACATGATGGCAAAACGCACGGACTTCGAAACTATAATGTATAGTCAATGGGTGCAGATTGGCTGTCGACCATTGCCATAACGGAGACTTTCTGGCGCGTTGTGATTGATAGCAAAAAATTGGCATTTCGTCTAAGCAATCAGCAAATTTTTGCTCGGACATAATAAGTTGGTTGAATTTGCGAATGGACACAATCATCCGTTATCCACCAAAAGACCGAGTTGCCATTAATGACATGGACGAAAAGGTCTACAAGTCAGTGAGGTCTGCTATCACGCGGTGCTATATTGAGTTTGGTTGTATGCACACTTACCTTGATATCGGATCCTTGGCCGGCTTGCGAGCCTTGACTCACCCCTATAACCTCTCCCATATCACCCGGAAAGTTGTGAGATCCTTAATTGCAGAAGGATTTCACGCTTTTTGGGACAAGTCTCACCTACACAGCAGCTCAACGTACACAATCTTTGTCGATTGGAGACGTGCATTGAAGTACGCCCAGAATGGGGAAAAGGCGGCCCGCCACCGGTCTCAAAACGTATGCGTAGATAACTCTGAGCGGAGAAGGGGCCTTTCAAGCCGTCTTGAGAACGTGGCAGCCGGCAGAAGCACCGATGACTCGGAGACAGAGAATGTCGAAGTGCCCTTCTTGGAAATGCTCGCGAATCCATCGAAGCGGCCGTCTTCACCGGAATAACTAGAGAATGTGCACTTTTAAAGAAATGGATGGCCGTGATAGGCTTGATAAAGAAAAGATGTACAGCCATATTCACGTTTTCTAGCTTAGTCACATTTGCCTGCAAATGTGATGTTTGATAACTTTTTGAACATGGGTGCTACAACCTTTTCTGGACTGGAAAACATGCAAGAGCATTCAAGGAACTCAGAAAGTGCAGAAAATTCCGAACAGCCATATTCACTTATCTGAGGGCCTGATCTCGTTTGGTGGTCAGATATATTTTCCAAGATTATGTGAGATAAAGAGGTCATGGATCGAAAAGGGAACGAACGTTCTGTAACCGTTCCAAGGACGCTCGAGTTGCTTGAAGCGGTTTTTGACGACGGCTCTAGAAAAGCAATAACGGTGAAGCAGTACGTAGCACATGTTAGCCGTCTCTACAAGGGAATGTTTGGCCCAGAGGCGGAAATCTCTAATTTTGATTGGCTTAGAGATGCAACAAAAGTGATTAATTACTTTGCCAACACGTATCCAGACAAGCTATCGATGCAAGCAACGGGCCTGACCCCGCTCCTCATTGTTGTGAAGAAGGAGTTTCCAAAAGACAACGAGCTATATCAAGCGCTCTATAGAAGGTACCAAGAGGTTCGAGAACTGATGGACAAAGCACGTCCTCCGCCTCAAGTGATGACCGAATCCGAGTTCCGAAATTGGAAGACAGTCTCGCAGATCAATGAGCGTCGCGTGGAGCTGCAGAGGAAGGTTAACCGCAACATTTTAACCAAGTCTCCCGGACAATTAACAACGGGAGACAAGGTAATCTTGATTCGCTATTTGGTGCTTTGTTTGTACAGTCAGAGCCCCACGTTGCGAAATGATTACTCCAACCTGCCAATCATACGTTTTGAGGAAATGCACGCGCCTTCGGCAAAAGCCCTGATGAGCGGGGGCGGCAACTATCTTCTGGAGCATTCAAAGGGCCAATATAGGATCGTCTTGAAAGAATACAAGACTTCAAAAGCCTACGGAGAGCAGAAGATCGACCTCCCATTGCGCACATGCAATGTGATTGCGGAGAGTCTACAGATCTTTCCCAGAAAGTACCTTCTGAGCCGGATGCGCACACCGGATGAACCAATGAGCCGCAATTACCTTACAAAGTTCTGCTCCCAAATTTTTGAAGATGCGAGGGTGGGCACATGTCTTCTCAGGAAAATCTGCGTCTCGACTGCAATGAAAGATGCACCCAGCATTGTTGATCGGGAGGAGCTTGCAAAGAAGATGCTCCACTCGAGCACCATGCAGATGTACACCTATGAGAAAAAGTACAATCCAGACGGGTCGAGGATCCAATTTGCTGATGCTTAAGCCTCGATGTACCTTTCGCAAGTTGAGCATAGTTGCGGCGTATGAGGAGATTCAGCAGGCCTCACCGACCATATACGACGAGATCTCTCCCGAAACGTGATCATCGGCAACGGATGGCAAGATTGCGGCTGGCGGTATTAAATATCCTGCCTTTTTCAGCCTCTCGAGAGTCTGATTGTGAAACTTCTTGGTATGGCCTGCAATATAACGCGCATACGCTCTTTGCATCAGAATCCTTTCTTGATTGCGGCCATAATAGGCCCTCACGTGCGCTTTGTGCCTCTCTGGATGCATTTGCTGGTGACGTCTATGGTTTGTGCAAGCGCGGCATGGACATGGTCGGGTGTAGTCCTCAAAGCTACCAGCATCTTCAAAGGCCATGGACATTGTCCCTATGTTATTGCTAGGAAAAAAAGCTCGCCGTTCAACCGCAGAAAACAACAAGGTGCGTTCGGATCCATTGGTTTTTTTCTGATGATCATGACAGAATGGCTGCACCAGGCCACCAGCACGCTATTGTCGATCCCAAGGCCTCGATCAAAAGTATTAGAGATGAGATCCAACGGCTTTGCGACAGAGGGCTATATGCAATTCCCGTACACCTCAGCTGGGATGCAAAGCAGGCCAGGAAGATTGCAGTGTTTCCCCCTACATACAAACATATCACGACCCCAGAGCTGTGGGGGGATTCTATCAATGACGCACTGAAGCAGATAAGGCAAGACGCCAATGCGATAGGAATCCTCTGTGGCCCCAGTGGTATCTTTGCAATCGATGTAGATGTGGCCAGTACAAAACAAAAACGAGCGGGAATGGAGCTCTGGCGCAAGCTTGTCGAGAAGCACGGTGATCCTCAGACTCTCAAAGCAAAGACGGGCTCGGGTGGACTTCATCTGTATTTTAGGGCAGACTCGCCGGGTCTAACGCAAACCAAAAATTTTGCAACAATCTTGGTGGATAGCATCGTATATGCACTGGATGGCCGAGGTGTTGGAGGTTGCGTCTTTGTTCCACCTTCAAGCTACATTGATGGCCAGGGCAGGCTTGCAGAATATGAGTGGATCAATGGGCCCCCAAGCTATGAAGCCTGTCAAAACATGCCCGAGTGGTTGGTGCAATTGACAAATAATCATGATAGTGACAACCCAGTGACGGACGTGGAGGACAAAATACAGGTGAATTGGGGTTTAGAAGACAGCGCATTAAACTGCAAACAAAGTGTTTCGTCGATTAAGACCACACCAATTCAAGCAAGACCGTCCCCAGACCTGCGCAACGCAGTTGCATTGCCGAGATTAAAGCATACAATCCAGGAGATTGAGAGGCTCTTGCGTGATCAAATGCCAAATGATATGAGCATCTTCAACGGTGTGGGAGAAAAAACTTCAAATGGGTGGCAGATTCTCAAGTTTAAAACCAACGGTGTGCGCACTTGCTTGAATGGCCACCAACACGTCTCAAATCAGTTCAGCATTCTGAGCAACGGGGGCATACTCGTATATCGTTGTTTGAGTGCCGAATGCATTGACAAGCCCAAGCGATTGTTGAGCATCTATTTTTGGCCTGAGTGCCTTCCTCTTAGAGCCGAAGGGGGGCTCTTTATAGCTTGCGAACGCTACGTGCTCTCTTTTGAGCCATCCACAGGCAATGGCAACGAAATAGAAAACAAAAAAAAAGATGGCACTGAACGGTCAAAGAAAGCCAAATTGGATCTGCAAGATCTTGTATTGCGCATCATGAACCACTAATTTGCCGTCGTCCGCTCAACAAAGGCTGTCTATCTCGAGACAATCTACTCAAAGGATGCCAACGGTTGGCTTCAGCCTGAGGAGACCATTGACCGGTCCGGCCGCGACTTCCTAGAGGTATGCAGGAACTTCCAGCTCCAAAGCCTGCCGGGAAAGAGCAAGGAGATTGCCAAATTTTGGGAGAGCAGCTCTAAACGGCGGGAGTATGATCAGATTGTGTTTGAACCGGACACATCAAAGGTGTCTTTGCGGCAATTCAACATGTTCTGCGGATTAAACTTCCAACCAGTCGACCGCAAACTTTCAACACCGGAGCTTCTACAATGCAAGGAACGGATGCCGAAGCTCTTATGGCACATCCGCCACATTTTATGTGATGGCTCGGATGAGCGGTTTGACTACAATATTCGGTGGATTGCGCATTGCGTTCAGAGGCCTTGGAGAAAGATTCAAGTGGCCCTTGTCTTTCGCGGACCCCAAGGGTGCGGCAAGTCAATATTGTTTGACTTCCTTGGAACCATGATCATTGGCATAAAAAACTACTTGTATTGCAATGAGATTGAAAAGATCATTGGCAAGTTTAATTCTTTGGGTGCCAACAAGCTTCTCATTGTCTTTGACGAGGCGGGAAACTGGGGAGGAGCGTACAGAATGAATGATCGGATGAAGTCTCTAATAACGCAAGAAACGACGTGCTTGGAGCGAAAAGGAAGAGACCCGATCACCGTGCAAGATAAGAGCAATATCGTGTTCACGACAAATAATGCATGGCCGGTGAAACGAGAGGCTGATGATCGACGGTACTCTTGCCAAGAATGCTCCGGTACCAAGGTGGGAGACAAACGGTACTTTGATGAGCTTTTGGAAGAGTTGCGGAATCCAGACATTGCTTTCAATTTCCACCAATACCTATCGTCTCTTGACCTCTCTAAGTGGGATCCTCGAAGAATTCCACTTACGGCGTGGGGAGAGGGTCTCAAGGATCACTCAATTCCATCACATGTGATGATGATGCAAGCGCTGCTTGAGAATGGATGCTTTCATCCTTCTTTGGAGACGTGGGTAGCATCAAACGACATTAAGCGGACGTATGATAAAGTTTTGCTGCAGATGGACATCAAAGAAGATCGCCAAACGAACCTAAACTTACGTCTTGGTGAGCTCTCTAAGCGCCATTTTCAAGATGCGGCCGCAAGCGCGCAGCATTCAACATATACGAACGCACAAGGGCTGGTACTTCCCTCCACAAGACGCCATATGCGAGGCACTTCATGTTGGAAAGTTGCGAAGTACAACCGTGGAGTGGCTCGGCATATGGGAGCGGGTTGAGTACATCGAGGACGAGCAAGGGCCATGGATTGCGGAAAGAAGGGATGACAATAAAGAGGTGCAATTGTCTGAAAAGGACCGCGTGTGCACGCATTGCTCAGACAGTCATGTGTGTGAGGGATGGAAGGAGCTCCGAGATGAGAAATTGTTGCGTTTCAAAACCCAATGGGTGTCATAGAGGTTCCACATGGCTTGTTACCTTTTCATTACCCACACACACACACACATACACACATGACTATACCCATGAACAAACCCGCAAGACACATAGTCTATTACCCTATTACCGTATTACCTATGGTATCTTGCAATACCACTTTCTTGCGAGAGCACCACATGACAAAAAAACATATGAAACATGTAAGATTTGAATGAGTGGGTAATAAGGTAACGCGTAATACAGAGTTTTTATCTGGGGCCAACTCCCCTTTGAGTGGGAACCAAAAGCACGGCGAATGTTTCAATTATTGTTGCAACAATCGAGTTCGCACCCCAGCCGTCCACACGGCTGCTGCTATTGCAATTGCAAGCTTGGAATCGTCGACCCTCTTGAGCGTCTGGTTGTAGCCGCCGAGGAGCAGAGGCAATATGACCATGAAACTTTCGAGCCCCGAGTACCAACCTAGACTCCTGAACCCCTTCAGAAAGGAGTTCACCGACTCCACTGCACTAGTGTTCACCCAGTGAAGGAACGGGTAGGTGTCCGGGCAATTCGAGGGACCACACTTGTGTACCTCCTGGCCAGCCTTTGAGAAGTGAAATCTGTAAAACATGAAGATATACATCAATCCTGAGATGAGAATCGATGTACAACATTTCAAATTAACATTCACAGCTTTGGAGCCGCTCTGTCCAACTCCAGAATGAATCCCAATGTACACGCAACGGCAGATGACCACAACTCCACTCAATGTTATGCAACAAAGCCCACGGCTAGAGGCAGCTCTTTACACAGATTGTCCAGCCATGCAATTATGTGAAAGCACGCACCTGTCGACGACGAATCGAACCTTGGCAAAATGCGCCCCTTCCCGCCGCATGCAGTAGTTGCGCAAGGCACAACCATTGTCGTGAACCACGACCTCTGGCAAGTCCTCCCGCCTCAGCCGAGTGTAGAGCACAACAAACGCGTCCCTTGGGCTCTCTCCGCGTAGCATCACGTGGAAGCCATAGATGCACCTGTGGGGGCACGCGAACACATAGCCCCCCCTGCTCCTCTTTGGCCGCTTACTGGCACTTCCCTTCTTCCCCGAGAGCTTTCCGGCCCCTTTCACCAATCCGGGAACATTCTCAACGTCCCACTCCGTCATCGACTTCCCCGTTGCGCACTTGTTCTCCTCCGAGCTTCTACTGCGGCCGCCCGGATGCTCGAAGCTGCTATACCAGGGCAATCCCCGTTTCTGCTCCCATCCGGGAAACGAGTAGCACGCCAGGGCGTCCTGTTCGGCTCGGAAGGCATGCCCCGTTGGCAGCGGGTGAAGCTCTTCCCCGTTCTCATCTTGCCCCAGCCTCTCTCTCAGAAGCGAGCGCTCATGAGCGCTCATGTCCTCCCATTGCTGGGGGCTTGGCTCCAACCTTTCGACCCCTGGCAGCAATTTGTTTGCCAGCCCGCGCGCCTCGTCCAACTGCCGTCGCTCCTCGATGCTAAGGGGACGTGCTCGAGCCTTCGTAAGAAGGTTGACAGCTCGGTTAAAGGGGTCGAGCGCCTCGTGCACCCAGCCGCGCCGCCCATCGGCATCGAAACCCGTTGCACCCCTTAAAAAGACGGTGATGAGGTAGAGATGGTAGAGGGTGCGCGTGGAGAAGGCCGGAAACGTGAGGCCGCCGTACGCGTCTAGGATGCGTCGCAAGATGGGCGCGTCCCTTGCCAAGTCTCGCCTGTCCTCGAGAGTTGCCTCGCTCCCCAGCAAAAGCCTCCGGATCACGTGCAATGCGCCAGGTCCGATCAGATCCTCGTCGCTGTCATGCGCGCCCAGGCAATAGAGGATTTCCGTCCACTCTCCAACCCAGTGCTGCCACAGGTCTGGGCTCAACCCTCGCCTCTCAAAGTCACCCTGGATCCCCGTCAGCAACTTGAAGACGGCCAGGTTCCGGTCTCGCACCATCGTGCGCTGCTCAGTAAGCATGCGCCGTCTGCCGTCCTCGGGAAGCGACCTCTCCGCCTCATCCGGCCCGAAACGCTTCACGGTCTGGGGGTCCTCGTGAGCCAGCCCGTTCAGGAGCGCATTGAACTCCGTCTTTGACAACCTCTCCCCGAGCTTTCCGTCCCGCGGCCTGTGTTGAGAGAGGCGTGCAAGCGCTTCTCGCAACTCGGGTAGCAGCAAGAGCTTGCGCTTCAAGCCGCCTCCTCGGAGACTTGCCCCGCAGTAGTCGCGACCGGAGATGGGCCGCTTCTCAAGGAGCTCCCCCGCAGAGGTGCGGCTAGGATGGCAAAACGTCCTTCACGCGTCAAGCAAAGAGCTCCCAAGACCCCCCGGCTTCTGCGCGCCGTCCGCGCTGGCTAAGCCCACTATGCCGTCGCAGATGAGCACCTTGAAGAGGAGTGAGTAAACGAGTATGAGTCAACGGGTATGTAGAGCGGATATTGGATCAAAAGTGCATGACACATGATCGACCACTCAATTAGGAGATTGAAATCTCAATGAATGTCGATTGAATATTGTTGAATCTACACGCATTGATGTCATTGGGTGTGCACTCACTATCAGCAAATGTACACTGATTGTGAAAGAATGTACACTCATCATCGTCAGACATCGACATCGCTACGGTCACAAAATTGGACAGACAGCAAAGACAGGACAGACAGAAGAATCTTGTGACCGCCAGCCATGTGGCTCACATTTGGATGTGGTCCACAGAGCGAGCAGCAATCCCGAAGCCCCAGCCCAACCAGCTTGAAGAAGTCGAGGCTCGCCCGACGCCACGTCTCCTCGCTCAGAACCGCCGCGGTTGGGGTGTACTCGAACGCGGCCTGATCGCGCGCGAGCACGGCTCTGAAAGATTGGCCGCTTTGCATGCCTCGCAGGAGGAGCTGAAGGCTTTGTTGATGAAAAAGCGTACGTTTTGACCAGACGTAGAGCCCGAAATGCTCCCCGTCAAAGTGGACGGCATGGGCCCGGTCCAGGCACGAACAATGGTACAGCCGTACTCGCACCTTCTTGCTCCACGCCGACGCCTCAACGGTGGCCTCTACCCAGGCCTCCACCCATTGAGTTCCGCAAGGGGGTGCTTCAATTGGGCAAGGGGCGCTCAGGAGGCCGCGTCGGGAGAGCTCGGCAAAGTGGCAGTCTCTGAGCTCGCTCAGGGGCACGGGGGATTGGAGGCACGTGACCAGAGGGTCGTGGACAGTTGAGGCGTCGCTGGGCCTTGCCAACTTTGGTTTGGAAACCTGAATGGCTTCCGTAGTCAGCAGCATCACAGGACATTGGGCCCGTTCGTGAACCGCGTGCGCGCAAGCGCCTTCGGCCTTTAGCGAGCTCAGCGTACAGCTCGAGCAGGCCGCAACCCAGCCGTGGATGGCCTCCTTCCCGCGAGCGTCTAACGGCGGCACCGTCCCCTCAGGTTCCGCCGGTCGGCCCTGCCCTAAGATGGGCGCACGTGCTTGCTTCTCCCAGAAACTCTTGCCCCTTCTCCTCCGCTTGCCTGCAGGCGGCTCATGAGCACCCCCTTCTTCCTCTCGTCCCATGACTCGGGTTTCGTGACCCTCCGTCTCCATTGGGCGTGCCTCGCCGAACAAGGCCGCGTGCCGTTTGCAAAAGCACCCCTCTCCTGCACACGCCGCCCCTTCGTGTGGCCGCCTCTGAAGCAGCCCCAACAAGTATTGCTGCTCACCTGTGAGCTCCCCTCCTTCTCGAGGCACGAGGCTTTCCTGCGAGGCAACCTCTGCCGGTACCGCCTTTCCACCCCCGATTTGCGGCAACTCCCCTTCGATCCATTTCTCTAACCAAGCAATTGCTGCCTTGGCAAATGGGGCCAATCCAAACGCCAGCCTCGCGCAGTCCGGCACATCCCCTTTTGCAAGAGCAGCCCGCGCCGTGCTTATGTGGACGCACTCTGTTAGCGATGGGCAACCGTCCCTCTTCCCTTCGCAGTACCAATTTCCGGCAACACTGTGAAAGAGCATGCGCCGCTTGGGGCACGAGGGGCTTCTGGGGTTGTCGACCACCGCATAGTACGACCCCTTGCCGTCCCATGAGACCCGCTCGACGCTCACTCCCTGCCCAAGGGCCTCACTGGTCGGCAGCTCTCCGTTTGGAGCCCAGCTCTCGCTCAACGCCGCTAGAACCAGCTTGTGAACACACGGAGCGCTCTCCGTTAACCTTCCTCGATGACACGTGCAGCAGAGCACCCCAAGAGCGTTCCACCTCGCCATCTCCTGCAGCGCGTGGCTCTTGTCCGGCTTTCCCAGGGGTTTTGGCCGGCCAACTCCGTTATGGTCCCAAGCGCCCATGTACATCGACAGCAACGGTGCTCGAATGCTTCCGACTGGCAGGAAGATCTGGCAGTCCTTCCCCTCATCCACTCTCCTCAGGTAGCTCAACGCTTGAGCTTTTATGCTAGTTGCGGGTGCGCGCTCCTCTCCATTTGTTTCCTGCATGGGCCCAGAAGGTCGACAAATGATGCATATGCTCCATTGGGCAGCTCAAACGTAATGTTTCCAAATCGATCAAAATCACGCGTCTTGAAGAGGTCCTTAAGCTTGTGACCCCCCAAAATACAATCAGGTTTTCTATCGATAACTCTCAGGAGCACGTCAAAATTTCTGTCAGGCCTCTTCCTATTGATATTCCGAATGCACTGGCAAGTGTAACAATTCTCATGGAATTTGCAAAGCTCGGAGCTCCCTTTCAATCTGGCTTGCTGGGCCGCAGCTGTCATTTTGTCCTGATGCTACTAATGAAAGAAAAGAAGTTTGATGTCATTTGTCCTCACCGGCGCTTCAGGCTCGCGCACTCTTGGTTGCAATCCCTTGGCGCCACCTTTGTTGATAACCTGCTCAGCAGCCGTGAGCTGACGCTTTTTACGCTCTACGGTGCCCTCGTTCTGGCCTCTGAGAAACGAGATCAACGCGTCATCTAGCGCCAATACCTGCGTCCAGTAGCCAGCGGGATGCTGCTGTAGAATTGATGTGTTGGCACCATCATCCAGCCGCTCGCTTAACGCAATGGTCCTGCCGTCGGCTGCTTCCACAACCTTGCCAAGTAGCTTCCCTATGCAGCTGAGGCAAACAAGAGACCTGGCCTGCTTTGCTCGGGGCACCTTTGCGCTGATGAGATAGCCTCTCTGCACTCCATTGGATTGCTGTCCTTTCCGAAACGCCAGCCGCAAGCAGCCCTCTTCGTCCTTAACCCATAGCTGTTGTCTACATGTCAGGCACTTGACCGCAACGCGCTCTTGGCAGCTGGGGGAGTCAACCCTAAAGTGACCTGAAGCTATATGGTCGAATGTAGGTTTGTCTAACCTTATTCGTTCACCACTGCTAACCAAATCCACCTCTACTACAGCCATTTCCAACCCCCACTGCCTCAGATGGGATGCCAAAGGGCGGCGGCCTCTCCCTAAGTGCCTCTCTCTCCTCGGTCCGAACTTCCCGGGGCCTCGGTCCTACCCTTTCAGCTTGGTCTCTTACCTCTAAGCCCCTCAACCGACCACTACCGTGACATGCCTCAAGGGGCCCCGGTCGCTTGTCCCTAAGTTCCGACCGATTCGATGCGCGGGTGATCGAACCTGTCCAGAATACTGCTGGGGGTGTGCTGACGTGGCGTCCTCTCCAGGTCATGTCACCAAACTTACCGTCACGGCAGAACCCGGCAGCATCGGTAACCGTCCCGTCACCGTCCGATTCTTCTGGAACGATCGTCACCGTCGAGAGAATGCCAAACACCCCTTGGTAGGCCCAGTGTGCTTCGCAAAGACTGAAGGATACCCAAAGTTGACGGCCCAGCCACGTGGGAGTGCGCGCGCGACACGTCGGCCGAAGTAGTTAATATTACTAGTGTCACGCGGCAGCTCAGTAACCATGCCAGATAGCATAAGCCGCAAGCATAAACGATGCAGATTCGCCAGACTACGGACAAGTTCCGACCAGCTACAGATTACGTCATACTCGGTTTCTGTTTGTTGTTTGCTAATAGCTGGCAGGATTCAGAGTAGCCACGCTTGACACGGGCTTAGAATCATTGGCATAAGCAAGGTCACGGTCACGTTACAAACAACCTTGCTGCAAGCTGCCTAGCTAGCTGCAGTCCGTAGGTAGAAGCAGTCATATAAAGTTCAGCCCATGATAGACTAGATAAGAGTGCATCTCAGACTTAATTGAGGCCTGCGCGCCTTCAGAAACTGCTAGTATAAAAGGCCAGAACTTGGAACATTCCATTTTAATTCCTACTTCCAGCAATCCACGTTTGCCTAGGGCTAGGAATTCCCACTCAAGACGTTTCCTTACTACGATCAAACAAGCAGCTTTCAGCTCTCGTTGTCCTTTCACAGTCATCTTGCAGCATTCTTTGTCATAGCAAGGCAGTGGCCAGAGTGCATGACTTATATGAGCCCGACGGCGGGCGTTTGCATATGCAAATGACAAAGTGTGAATTGAAACGAAGCACTGAGCGTGCTCTTTGCAATTGAGATTGCAATGCTGATTTGAAACGAGTGGTACACCTATGGTGGTCACTGAACAATCACAGAGCTGATTGTTATACCATCAAAACTTGGGTCCAGCGCGGCACAGCGCCGCGCTTGGACAAGCCCTCTGCTTTTCAGCAGATTTGAACCAACTGTGAGTTTATCAGTCGTGGCCATTGCATATGACCTGACTGCCACCAATCCGACAGAAACGTGAACCCTTGATGTGATTCATGGGCGTTGTCTGAAAGCGTGAGCTAGAAATAGCAAGGAGGAAAGGAGCAGCTTCAGGGCTGCACCTCCAAACTTGACTCTTCCTTCACTGGAACATTAGCAGACCTATTGTTCCAACCCGACTGGTATGGGACAGTCCGGGGATAGTGACTGAACGAGTATGCATGATTGATTTGCCAGAGCTTCCGCAATCTGATCTAAGTTGCAGCTGCACGCCGACCAGCGCGGCCGCAGCGCGCTGCCCGGTTTCACAAAAGTTGAAGACTGAGCAACTAACTGAGCATACGCGCATAGAGTTTATCGACGGTCCAAAGGCCGGGACACGTCACCCGGCAGGATTAGCGGACCCGTCCTCTCTGGTGAAGCACACCAGGCACTGATTAGGTAACCATTTATTATACCTAAACGCCCCTAAAAGTGTGCATGACTACGTTGATCATAGCCTATGGGACGTCGCCTGAAGCGGCACAGCACTGAGATTTCCGGTCGAGTTTTGTCGGGTTTGTACAGGATAATCGCTGAACAAACCCGCCTGCGCGCGCCGCGCAGTGGAGCGGTGTTCAATGCTTTTCTGACCGTCCAATTTGTAAAATCCGCTGTAGACGGCCAGCTTCCGCCACATTCGGCAAGCCAGGAGGCTATATGAGCCGCCGTTGATGTGGACACCAGCCATCCGTATAATCGGACGGACCGAAACAAGCCGTTGTGGCTTGATACGCTCTAGGTACCTGGAATCTCGGCGCACCGTGCACCAGGACAACCACACTCGAGTTCAAATCCCCGGTTCACGGATGATGGATTCCAGATCGACGTGAACCGGGAGCTCCCGTGCTATTTGCAGGAAAACCCTTCGGGGATACCTCTAGCTTTCCTCAACGAAAGTAGGACTACAGAATATGGCAGGAGAACATCTAGCAAAAGACCAGCGGGGAAATATTTGCTTCCAGCGGTACCCGGTTCAATTGACGCCAGCTCCAGCTGACTCAGCCGATCGAATCAGGAGCCGCCGAGTACAAATTCGGATCAGGAAGAATCTCCGCAGTTCATGTGGCTTGTGCCTTCGACCCGGGGCAGGGCGAGACTACCACGCTATAGTGACTTTTATCCATAGCATGACACTTTCTTATTGTCTACGCGTCAAGACCACAATTGTGTCAAGCACGTGGCTGATACTGGGAACGAAAAGTGCAACGCCTTGCCCGGGATCGTCCGACGTGGCTTTCTTGGCGGAACCTTTTCCGTGCAAGGTTCTTCACGCAGGCGAACTCCCCTCAATGCCATCGTTCAGCTCCTTCAGCTCCTTCAGCTCCTTCAGCTTCTTGCTACAGAGCGACGGTTTACGGAGCCCTTGTTTTTCTCTTGCCTCCACGCCTCCTGGGTGTCACCTACAGATTCCCAATTCCCTGCATGTTACGCAGAGCCCTTCTCGCAAATCAAGCGGAGCTGTCCAGCTGTTTACAATGGTGGACGCGGCAATGATCGCCCTCCTGTGGACGCAGCGTGGCCAGAACAAGCAAAAGTTGTAAGGGGCGACAATCTGATACTGAGCTATTCTCCACAGCTTGGCAAGCCCTGCAGACGCGAGGAAGTTGAGCAAGTCGCTGTCAAATGAAAGACCGAATTTTCAATATAGATAATTCCTGCGGTCCTCCGAGTTTGTTTGACATTCTGGTTGTACAAAATGTCGCCAGATCATGGCAACGGCAATGGGTATTCGGCCTCAGGGTATACAGAGCTGGTTCACATCGCCTGCAATGGCCACAAGCACGATAGAACCTCTGGAGAAGGGACCTGAGAGCACAACCGATTGTCTCCTTTGTACAGTACAGTAACTAACAGGGACTTCCTGATAACAGTTACATAGACGGGCAATCCTCAAGTACGAACTGTTTGAGCGGGACAGTTTTGTCAAAGAGAGTCCCAACCGCAAAGAATCGAGTTTGTACAAATAGAAGACATTGTACTCATTAACATGGGTCACAGGCTGCTGTATATCTTTTTGGTAGCGATAGTGCTGGCCACTGCAATTCCGGCCAGGGCAGTGGAGGGGAGAGTGGATGGGCGGCTCTGTCCTTTTGAATTGGGCTTTGCCCCGTGCAACAATGCGAGCCGCCTCGTGTGCTGCCTGGGTAAGCTATTTTCACTGTGGATTCAAAGTTGTTTTTGAAGCCGCTTTCTTTTCTGCGACGTTGACCTGCTCAAGGGGACGACTCTTTCTTGTTAACTGGCTTGTTTGTTTACTATGTGACCAAAAGGAGCTCTCCCTTATGTTTCTGTCCTGGTTAGGTGCATCTAATAACCCTTTTGGCAGATTGAGCATGTCCAGTCTCTGGCATTTTGTGTTAGCATGTCGCCTCCTGATTGTGCGTTGAACCCTGTCGTAGATTGCCATGGGTGTTTATTGGTCATTGATCTCTCAGCTTTTGGACCAAGTGCGTAATGTTGTCGTATTGCATCACAAGCAGTTCTAGGAGTTGAACTTGTTGTGCAAGCAATCCTAGTATCATGGGAAGGGAGTTACAGGCGGCCACGTTGAATCTGGAATTGCCCTTGTGCAGGATCATGCGGTTCCCAGAACTGCTTTGAGGTTGACCAGCCTGACGCCATGAAAGCAAAGTCGCTGCGCAACACGGGTGTCACCATCTTCAATCTCATAAAAGCCTTCAGCCAAGGCGACTGGGAGGCGGTAACCTCGCTGATGGCCGAAGGAGCCACGAGTAGCGGGCCAGGGTTTGAGGGGGGCTTGTCAGCTAAGAGCCCCCGAGCGCTGCAGTTGCAGCAGGCAGCGTTCACATATCAACCTGGCCAAGACTTGAGCTCGTCATTTCAAGTGCTGCAGTATGACCTTCTGGGGGGCAGCCCCCTCAAGAGCAGAGTGGTCGCGAGGCATCACACCAAGGCTTTTCAGTTTGAGGTGGATGGAACGTTTGAGTTAACCGATGTGGAGCCCGGGAAGAGGAAGTGGTTGATCAGGGAAGCTCATTTGAAGAACTTCCGGCCTTCCGGTTTTTGAGCCCATGGCGGGGCATCAGTTTTGTATGGTAGCTTTTTAGAACATTCTTGCGTGAACCTAGTGAGCATTCTTGGTTCATCCTTGTAATAAGGAGGTTCCTGAGCAGACCGCCTTGCGAGTCTTGAGGACTTGAGATTGCTGCGGCCATCTAGAAGGTTTGTAAGAAGTTTTGGTTTAAAACCGCTTTAGATCTATTGGTCTAGTGAGTGAGTGTAAAACATATGAGTTGCGTTGATGGAGTTTTGTTGGCCAGAGAGTTGAGGGGCTCGTGCCCTTTCCGGACCAAAGTGAGTGTAGCCGAAGTCTTCAAGTGTTAGTCTGAATAGTCGAGGCGAAGGTTGGAAGAAGATCAGTTGCACATTTTTGAGGCCCGTGCAAGTCTCTAGAGTAGTGAGAACGTTGTGGGATCCTTTCGTACCGAGTCTAATCTTTCAATGTGACCATCGCTTTGATGGCGCTTAGCATTGTGACAACTCAAAGGCAGTACCCCCCATGTGCTGATCATTGGCAAGTGCTTACCAGCTCATGCACTGAAGAACGTTCTCTGACCTCCTGGTCAAATGAAATTCGAAAGCAAACAAAACCCCGACAGCATTTCAGACACTGAGTCAAGCCCATAGTTGGTCATCCTTGATCAGCATGAGACAATGGATAAAAGATTTGGCATGTTACAAATGTTAGGCCATTAAACAAGCATGGCGCCCATGATGCTGGACATGTGTCCCTTATAGGTCGCTGCAATATGACTAAATGAAGCCCAGTGGGTCCTCCCCTTGAATGTATTGTACATGCCATGGCGGCGTACTGCCTAATGATGCGTGACATGTGAATTTGGAAAAGTCACAGTGCGAATAGGATATACTTGCAGCTCTAGCTTATATCGTGCACAATCAGGTAAGTTATGCAAAGTTGGAATCATTAGGATCACATATTCGCACAAGCTATACCGAGAGAATCAGTAATAGGTGCACTGACGGTGCAAATGATCTGGATTTCGATGGTACAGATTAGATAACATGATATCAATCAGCCCAATATTATCTGCACTTGGCCGGGAGCTATTGGGTGAACATGCAAGCAAAGGTCAGAGGAAGATGCGTCAATAAACTTGTACTTGGTTCCGATGTTTCCAGAAGACCCCTGCTACTTCTGGATGCAATATTCGTTTCACGACGCATGTGGTCTTCTGAAACTTGGACGTTCCTCGTATAGCATCTGCTATGTGATCTTTATCATAACCAAGATCGTGGGCTGCCTCAGCTTGTGCTCCGTACACAAGTCTCTGCACAAAGAGATTGGCGTTGACCACATTATTGGCATAAGGAGCTGTTCGCAACAGTTTTGTCACCGTTGTCTACGCACACACTGAAGCAGACGCAAGGGCTCGTGCTAATGCAGATGCAAGATGGCCAATGGACCCGTTGACACTAAGTGTGCCTGGTTTTACTGCCTCGATTCATGGATGCGGCAGATCCAGACAGAGAATCAGGACCGTTTGACTGTCGCACTTACCGGAAGCCGTGCAAGGAACATAGCAGCGAATGACATCGGGCATGGCTCGCACGAGGAGTAGATCTCGCAGTCGGAGAGCTCAATCTTGTTCAAAGTTTTGCAGGCCTGCAGGGCCAGAAAAGGAACGTCACAGTCCTGAAGCTGAGATACTTTTCGGGGAGTGGAGGCTTTGATCGGGACTGGCGGCCACCCAGAAGTCAGAAGCCCGTCAGCCACTTTCTAAGACTCACAGCTGCGGAATGAAGGAGTTCCGGAATCTTTTTTGTGTCACTTCACGAGCCAGTCAAAGTAGCCCCAAAATGGACCTTGATCGAAGCGAGACAAGAAGTGGAGTCATGGCCTGCCTTACGAGCTATCAACTGTGCAAGAGTCTGGGGGAGAGGGGCAAACGAACCCGCTGCCATTGGACATGTTAAAAAAAGAAGATTGGATTGGCGGCTCACTTTCTGTATAGCAATGATTTCAGCGTGCGATGTCGGGTCCTGGGTTGCAATCACCTGCGATGAAAATGGATTCCGTTGCTACAACGATGCCCAAAAAAATGACTTTCGCCTCACAGAGTGGTCAAAAACCAAAGATACTTGTTTGCAGATCAGACTCACACTCTGGAAACCCCATGATATTGCGGGAGCGATACGTTCAACTGATAGCAGATCTTGATGCGAAAGGGTGCCCTTCAAAGTTCCCTGACTGTTGCAGCAATCAACCTGCTTATACTGAGCACTGTTCAATTGATTAGAGGTGGTAGCTCAAACTGCAGCATTGCAGTGGCATCGCAAGTTTCAGTCAAAAGAAAGTAGCACTATGCGCCTGACCATTCCACAGTGAAGTACATGAGGCACACTTAGAATGAGGAGCAAGTCCAATCGATTGGCAGTCTGCGAGGATGTCTTCTGAACGGTCTGCTTCTACTGAACGACTGAGGGCATTCCTAACAAGAGAAAGGTTCGAACTGCAAAGATTCCAGCTCTTGTGCTTCTTTTTGCTGAATTGAGAAAGTGACTTCTTTGAGTTTCACTTGGGATAAAGCACGACCCCCAGGTGTAACATTTCAACCCATCAATGAAAACAAGCCCTGTTTCATGGTCTAATGTCAAGTGACCGCCTTTGCACTAGCCAACTTTGACCTCTCATGTGCAAATGCATGATGACCGATTTGCCACACCAAATGGATCAGTACTCACCATGTTATGAGCGCGCGCCACAATTTCTTTTCCTTGATCCCCATTCCTGACAATGACAGCTCCGAAAGGACCTCCCTCTCCAGACTCCACACCTTGACCGGCTTCGTATGCTGCCAGTGACAGAAACTCATAGTCCAAGTCATCTTGACTTGCATCAGGGCTTGACCTTAGAACGTCAATCCGTGCCAGAATGTCACCAAGGACATCTTTGCGTTGCCTCCTGTCAAACAGTCCCTTTGCTAAGGCGGCAGCGACTGACAGCGCAGCAGCAAGGAACGCCAACCTGGTCCCTACAGCCATGTTTCCAGGGGTAACAGCAAACAAGATCTATATTAGGTAGGTACAAAACGTGTCAAAGGGGGCAAAAAGCCTGGGGTAGGGCAATGCCAGGGCAATGCTCTCAAAAATCATGCACTCATGCACAATAAGCAAGACACCATCGCAGAAGAAGCAACTACCGTACCTAGGTCCTAGGTGAGGCCCTGAGGGCAAGGTCAAAGCAGTGCAAGGCAAAGTTTGCGTACGGTACCTATATCGACGGATATAAGATCGTGACACAACATCTGACGGTCAGCACTCAGCAATTCTGCAGCTTGCATGCAACCTCGATCCTTCTATCGTCAAATCCGATGGACGAGATTGCATCAGGGCAGTTGAGTCAGTGCCTTGAAGGAGGCGGCCGGGCCACTTCTTGGCCCTTGCACATGACGTGATATTCATGAAGTGTCTAGTATCTACCATCTTGACAAACCGGCCAAACCGGCGCCCTTCGTTGGGCTGCCAGATTGGATGCATGAATCTGTGCGTGCTAATAGAGATACTAAGGGCTGCAATTTTCAACGTGATCAGATTGTTTGGAGATCAAGAGCGCAGTACTTCTAGTAATTTTGCCGGCATAAAAATTTGAGAAGCTGGTGCAACACCAAGAGTCCTTTCGAGCGAGCGTTCAAATGAGATAAGCCTTACACAACTGATTAGAAAGGCGAGAATTTGCTGACACTAGCCCATGGCTGATCGTACGATTGGAGCTTTCGTTTGCCAAACCCCCGGGTATCTCGACTCATGATCAGCAACTAAAGAATGTATTTGTTGATAACCTAGTAAATGATCAGTACATCACGAATTTAGATTTTGTGTTTTCAAATATTTGTTCCGCCGCATCTGCAGCCTTTCCACTACCCTTTTCTATCTTCAAATTTGTTTTTTGATAGGTCGCTGTTCCGCGTATAGCATCAGCAATGAAATCGTCAAAGCCAATTGCTAGTGCAGCCTCTGCCTCCGCACCATAAACCAGTCGCTGCAGCCACCAAAAAGCAAACATTTATGGCGGAGCCGACGAGCAATAAACAGCGAATTTCAGAGTGCTAATCATACCATGGGAGAAGCTGTGCGGCCATGCCAACAAGGGTTCAAACGGTTTAAAAATGGACAACTCAAGCTCCAAAACATGCTTATTAATATGGAAAGGCCAGTCTATGAAGTTGGACTCGAGATACCCGATTAGGCAGGGGCAAGTACGAATGACCGAGCAGAACTTTTTAAAGGAGCTGATGCAAGTCACTGATCGGAGTTGAAGGCTATAAGAGGTAAGATTCGACAAGAACCAGCCCCGATTCTAACTCGCGAGGTTGCCCTGGTAAAGGCTGTCTTACCTTCAATTTGGAGAGGTGTATGGCCCCAAAGCACATGGGACACGGCTCGCAAGACGCGTAGATTTCGCAGTCCGAAAGGTCGTATCGCCCCAGTTTTTGGCATGCCTGCAAAACACAGTATCGTCCTTTCTGCTTTCGTGAGCATGTAATCTCCATCTCCGCGATTAAGTCTGCTCGCCTGCAAATTCTTCATCCATTGAGAAGAGAGTTTGTAAAGCTTATGTCCACCCTACAAAGATGTCTCGATCTTCCCGACCAAGCAGACTGGTGTGGCTGCTAATGGGCGTTTGGACAGAGAGAATGTCATTTTTTTCGTAAATTGAGCTTCAGAAACTGATTTGCGCATGACTCAGATGCCAGCCGCAGCGGTTTTGCTTAGTCAGGCTCCAGGGTGTTCGTTCGCCCCAACAAAGACTTTCCAACCACGGTGTCTGAGGAAGCCAAAACTACGTTGAAGATGATTCAAAGCACGGAAAGCTTTCGACGAAGTACTCGAACCGGAGACTTTCGACCAAGTACTTGATGAGTAATGAAGCGACCGGCTTTTTAGACACCTTTCCGCGAGTTGGTTAAAACAAAAACCAGCGTGCAACAATGAAGACATTCTTCATTAAAGAACTAGCTCGTTCGAAGACAAGCCTAATTGCACGAATGTTTGGCAGAGCGCAGACATTTCATAAAGAGGAGCGAAACGACTTACAGATTTCCATCAAGAACGATTGTGAACGATTGCATCCTGATAACCCGCGGCTGCCCTTACGAAAACCCGCCACTGCGTCCCCAGAGGGAAAAACGAGGACGAAAGGCCACACTTTTGTACATACACTTTTACAAACCTGAGCTCTACATCCTCGTTCAAGCTCGCGCGTTACGGCCTCACCTTCCGTACGGCTGTCACCTCTGCATGCGCCGTTGGGTCCATGTTTTTAAGCACTTCGTTATGCGCGGCACACACGACTACTTTCCCGTCCTTGACAATGACCGCTCCGAACGGCCCCCCCTCGCCGAGCTTGACCCCGTTGTAGGCCTCGTCGACGGCCATCGTCAAGAACTGGTGATCTCGCTCCTCCACCTCTGGCAACAAAAGAAGAGCGCATGCGTGAGAGGCAAGCAGAGTTGGATTTGGCGATGCTGTGATCTCCAATGTGTGGCGACAGGCTATGGTCAAATCCAGGGGGCTAGAGGGAACAATCCGGCAAGGGCCTATTGAGAAAGGCGAGTGGAATCAGTTCTGATTGCAGACGTGCCGATTATGAATCTTCGAAAGGCGCTGTCTTGCTCGTCCACCACGAAGGTTGGATGGATGCTTTCCAGTGAGAACCTTTTCAAGGTATTGAAGAAGCAAACTATAGAGATGCCAATTGTGACTTCGATGGACGACCCCCATAAGAGCCCTGCGTATTCGGCGGTTCTGACCAAGGAAACGAGAACGGGACAAACTTTGCACAACTTTCTGATCAAGACTGCGCTCTGCAGGTCCTGTGCTAGAGAGCAAGTATACCTGCGGTTAGGGCCAGACAGTCATTGTGGCAACAACCTGATGGGAAGCTACAACAAAGTCGAATCAACTTCGTTGGAGAAGGAAGCGCAAATAGTGAAAGATGTTTTCTTCGTCGATGTTTTACTCGTACTGAAGAGTATTCATTGTCGACTATTATGCACTTTCGCCGAACTGCCAGTCAGTGAGCAGTCACCAGGCGCTTGGTCTGATTTACCAATCAATCAGATCCTCGTGTCAGATCGTGGAGGGAAAGGCTCGAATCTTCAACGATGCTTTACCCAATCTCGTCCCATGCTCTGGACTAGACTGTGGATCCTTTCAGCAATATTTGTTTAAACGACAATATTGAGAGGGGCATCTGGGGGCCTGGTACTCACAAACAGCCTGTATTCAGGTCACCGGAACTTCTGATCAAGAGAAGCCGTTGGGCCGAGATGGTGACCCATCTCCAGCGTAGGCTGTGAGGGGTCCCTCTCATCATGTGCAACAGCAACTTGAGTGAGTCGAGGGCCAACTTCAAGAAGGTCGACAGAAAGTCAGAGAGCACTTTCTTGTACTCATCTCAAAGGCTTACCAAGCTCGAAGGCTTTGACATGGCCCGACGGTGTCAGCGCCTCCCCATGCCCATCTTCTGCAGCCCGCACCTCGACTGCAGGATGTCCTGTGCGAAGAAGAGACTTTGAGACGAGGCAACTTTGTCTGTGAGCTTTCCAGACAGCTGCACCAGAGAATCGAAAAGCTACCCCTTGGTAGAATGTTGGAATTGTTGTGACGCCCTGATGCACGATAAGGTGGCGCCAAGCAGGCCATCACAGATCGCACCCCGTGCGTTGCCCTAAAGAGACCTCTTTTTTCAAACTTGGCTATTGCTTAGAGGCGTCCACAATCCAATTTCATCAAGGTTACCATACTGATCTCCTGGACTCCTTAGGAGCATAGACGACCAACGTCTTGCAGAAACCCTTGGTGGTAAAAAGCGCCACAGCATGGGGCTGACACCATGCTAAGCAGTGAACTTCTTCTACATGGGTAGAAACATATGGCTTTTTAAATTACCTTCCAGACAGGATTCTCGTGGATCAACTTGTGCAATCGAGCTTCTTTGTAGTCCTATGAGCTGAATTCACAGCTTAGAAGTGCCTGGAAGCTTTGATAGCATGAAGCGCCCCCGCATGAATGGAACTTAGCAAATCACAGGGACTGACCGAGGTGTATACAGAAAGGAGTTGCTCTCAAATATTGCTTTTTGGGTTCCCTAACTCAGCATTCCTAGCTCAGATTATATTTATATGCGATCTTTTCTACAGGATCCATACGTACAACTTTTTGATTGATGTGATAGTCCTTGTCTCAGAATGACACCTACAAATAGCAACCAAACAAAGGTTTTCTTCTCATCGCAGCCTGCTTTGAAACAGTGCCCTTGAAGAATCTGCCACCAGATTGCTGATCCACACAAACAGCTCGCATGATCAAAGGGCCATTACAGCACGACTGCATTCAAGTGCAGGGTTTCCAGGAGGTCTATGAAGAGCAAATGCAGAGATCAGCACATGTGGGCGACACTAATGATTTGGTCTGTCCCCCCAACAACCTCAGAACTTGCATTGGTGCAGATAATTCTTCGAGATTTACCTTCATCACCCATCTGTTCCGCCACCTCCCTTCAGCCCCTTCTGCTCCAGCACAGGCCCTTCTACAGAGAAGTAATGCAGCCCTGTGCGGACGACTTTCAGCTTGAGCAGCTCTTGGCAGCGACGCGACGTTCTCAATGCCAAAACTCTTCACAGAAGGATTAGGTAATCAACTCATGACCCTTGATCCTAACATTGACAATCACAGCACGGGCATGCAGCTCCTCTGATCTGCGGTATCCTGGTGCCAATCTGACCTGAAGCCGGAGCTAGAAGGAACCGCAGGGTGGGAGCCAGGTGGGTGCACACTGTGCACAGTGTGGGAGGGTGCCTAAAATTTGTATACCGGTACGGCGAAACTGCATGACACTCTTTCACCCCCCTCCTTGCAAGGCTTCCCATAACATTCAATCGACGCGCGCGTTGAAACACCAGTGTCACTCAAGACCGGCGTCGGTTAAGGAGAAGAAAGACGAGAAGCTTGTTTGAGAGAGAATCGAAGTTGGAGCATCCGGTTTGCGTTTCAAGTTTGCCGCCGTGACCATTCGAATGAAACGCGCACTTGTGCCAATAAAGCTCCTGTGCCAGTGGGGGGGCGTTGGGAAAAGAACTTTTAGTTGCTTCCAGAACGAGCTAGCAAGGAAACATTCCACCAGTTGTCTTTGAATTGCATCGCCTTTCCATGGCCATGGCCGGCTCAGCATCATTGGTGTTGCAGTTGAGACGATAATTGTGCTGCGCCGATGCTAAACAAGCTGAATCGTGTTTGGTGGCGTCGAAGAAAGTGCTGCTGATTCTCCGGCTGTGTTGCCCCTCTAGTCCCCACCTTTTTGGGGCATTGCTAATTTCAAATTGCAGCATTTCTGCGGTGATTTTTAGGTGAGATTAGAGAAGTCCTTGTTCTGCAGCCTTGAGATGGGGTCAGCAAACGTTGCGGACCTTGACAAGGTATGGGAGATCAAGGTGTTGAAGAAAGAGAGAGCGGAGGAGGCTCGCAAGATGCTCGAAGCGGTGGCCAAGCAGGTGCAGCCAATCATGAGGAAAAGGAAGTGGAAAGTTAGAATGCTTTCAGAGTTCAGGTGTGTGTCGCCATTCGCTCTCTGCTGTCTGCTTCCTGACTTACATGTACATCCCAGTTTAAGGTTTTTCTTGTTCACAGTTGTTGAAATGTTTACAGTTGTTGAAGTTGTTGGGAAATTGCTAAGTGGAAAGGTTGGCACTTCCGTGCTCTGCATCTAGGATCCCTGTTGCATCCGTCATCTATCATCAAACTGATCAGTCCTCCTAGCTCAGTAACTTGGGGGCAAACTGGGGTGGTTCGTGCATGCTCTTCTCTAGGGCTAGAGGTGGTGGAGCATCTGACCCTGCAACACTGTAGTGAACTGGCTTTCAAAAGTCCGGAAAGATTACACTATGCAGAAACGCATGGGTTGTGCTGCAGCGGAGTGCGCACTCCTGTCAAATCCGCCTGATTGGCTCATTACACAGACCCCAATATCCTGCAGCTTCTAATACTGGCGTGATTGAGTGACCCTTTCCTCTTAGAAGAGAGTTAAAAACTGTCTTGACCTTATTCGTTGAGCTGAGTGATTGATTGTCTGAAACGGTGAACGGGCTGCGAGACTGAGTAAACGCATGAGTGGCCCCTTGAGTTTGTCACTGAGTCAGTGAGTGAGCCACCCTGAAGTTCCTCAGGCACGCAGAATTCATATATGTCAGATTATCAGAGCTTTGTAGTAATTGATCGTGACTCCCCTGCAGTCCCACCAACCCCGCCCTCCTGGGGCTGAACGTCAACCGCGGCCAGGAAGTGAAGATCCGGCTGCGTCCCCACAAGCGCGACTCCGAGTTCTACCCTTGGGAACACGTGTTGGGAACCATGTTGCATGAACTCACGCATAACGAGGTCGGCCCTCACAACGCAAACTTCTACAAGTTGCTGGATGAGATTACGAAGGAGTGCGAGGATCTGATGGCCAAGGGGATATCGGGGTCGGGACAAGGGTTCGATGCGCGGGGGGTGCGGCTGGGAGGCGTGACGCACAACCCGCCACCGACGAACCTGCGCTCGGTTGCGGCGAGGGCAGCGGAGAAGCGGCTCAAGGCGACGCAGGTTGGTTGATGTCTCTGTGGGTTGTTTTTGCTGGAGGGGTTTTCTGCACGCCATTCCAATCCGTAAACGCCAAACAAATAGACTGTGCTATCCCTGCGATTCAAAAGCATTCCTTCGCTGAACTGCGAGTGGCTTCTGAAACGGTTGCTGCAAATCATCTTCCGAAGAGGAGAATGGCTTAGAGCGGTAAAGTCGACGGAGTTGATATGGTGTATCGTTTTTCTTATGAGTTTGGAAGCTTGTCTCAGGAGAATTCATGCCTGGCTGGTGGTTCCCGTTGATATCGTGAAAGTCGAAGTTTTGTTGTGAAGCTGCCATTTATTGTATAATCCCTCCCTTATTACAGGTTTTTTCCACCCGTTGGGTTATATCGTGTAGACACACGTGTAGACGCACAGGAAGAGCTGTTTCGACGATGACAATCCCGTTATCCAGATCCGGCCAACGTACGGGGCCTTGCTCTTGATCCGACCACAGACTTTGCTAACACATATCCTTGACATTTACCCCCCCCCAGAAATAGCAGATGGACTTCCAGCGTCAGACCACGAGAAATCCTGGCTTTCAGAGAACTAGTGCTTTCAAAACACGGCTCAAAAGGTTCCGAAGATGTCTCTCTCAAAGAAGCCAAGAGTTGGTTTTGAGGATTTCCAACTTTTTTCAAGATTATGGACATGTCGTGTTTACAGGTGATGCCAAGCGGACCCCGCAAGCTGGGCGGCGACCGTGGCCTGATGCGCGACCTTCCTCCGGGCGTAGCTGCCGCAATGGCCGCCGAGCGCCGCGCCGCTGACGACAAGTGGTGCGCAGGAGCTGCCACCGCGCAGAACGAGTCGGACGAGGCAGGGGTCCGGGCGACGCAAGAGGCGGAGCGGGGAGGAGGGAGTGCTGGCGAGACGAGTGGCTCGGGCGGGGGCGATGCTCAGCAAAGAAGAGGGGTGATGTCTGCAGTGAACGGCAATGTGAATGGTGCTAGTGGGGCGAGTACGAGCGGGTCGGGAAGGGTGGGACTGGGCGGTTTGGAACGGGGGAATGGTTTGGGCGGGGCTCGACAAGCATCACGACCAGGGGAGATGGCGAGAAAGGACGTTGGTATTGACGGGAAGACGGAAAGAGTGGGGGCCGTGCAACGTGCGGGCAAAGAGGTGGAGAACGGGGGAGGAGGAGTGGCGGAAGCGTTGGCAGCGGCGGCGGAAAGGAGGAAGCGGAAGCAGGCGGGCGAAGACTGGGAGGCGGGACGTGGCTGGGCCTGCTCGGTTTGCACGCTTGAAAACAACGTGAGTCCGATGTTTCGCCGTTGCTGTTTGTCGTCGTCTTTGAATTGCCTCTTCTTTTTTTGCCCTATCTTGCTTCACATTCCGGCAGGACGTTGATTTGCGACTGCATTCTGCACGACTCGAAAGCTTGTTCTGATCGTCCTGGACTTTCTGATTCTTTGAAGGGCGTCGATGATGGTGTGATCAAAGTCGATCCTTGTGATGGGGCTTTTCGCTTGCTGATTTGGCGCTTGGTCGCTTCCGCTGCATTTGTGAACCAGCCAATATGCATCTAATTCGATATCGGGCAGACTTGGTGTGGTTGGGAGATGCAAAACATCTATTTTGCTTGGTCCTGATAAGCGCATTATTTCGGTTGAGAAAGAGTGGTTCCAAGCCTTGGCTTTCCCGAGACAGTACTCCTCCGTTCGTTTTGGGCCATTTTCGATGCTTTGATCTTCCCATTTTACCTTTGATTTGAAGCGGAGCCTGGCAAATCTTGCCGATAGTTTTCGTTCCCGTCTCTCTGTTCCAGAGGTGCAAAAAAATGTGCCGTGTGGACAATGGCTCAGAGCTTATTCGTTGCCATGCACGAAACTTTTTGACAAACTACAACGGCTCGTAAGACAACGACGAGCGCTTTCCTGTGCCTGCAGTCGTTGGCCCTTCAATGTGGTGCGTGCGGAGCCCTCCGAAGCGCTGCGGCCAGTTCCCCGACTTTGGATACCTTCTGGCACTGCCAAGCTTGCACGTTGCAGAATCCCGCCGGCGCAACCACTTGCAGCGCATGCGGCGCTCAGCGGGACGTAGTTGGCGGAACGGAAGAAGACGCGGACACAGTGATGCTACCAGCGGATGGGTTGGACGGCCCAGCTTCGACCAGCAGGAAAGGAAAAGAGAGCGTCACGGATGGGGGATCAGTACAAATGGATCAAGGGCGAGTGGTCCAAGGTGTGATTGATTTAGAAGGCGCCGGGCCCGGAAGTCAGCAGCAGAAGGGATGGGCGTGCAAGTTTTGCACTTTGATGAACGAGCCGCGTTCGTCCAAGTGCGCAGCTTGCGAAGAGTGGCGGTACTCCTTTGGAGCACCCCTGACGCATAGACCAGTTACTGAGACCTGAACGCCATGTCATAAGGTTGCCGGTTTAGTGAAGAGATACGAGACAGGTAACTTGTGTACTTTGAGAAGGCTATGAGGCTCACAATCAACGGGCGTTTCTACCTAGTCTGGATACGAACCAAGTAGGACTGGAACCTGTTTATACATACTAACGACTTGCAAACATTGTATCACGATACTCATACACGCTGTGCAGCCTACGGTCTAATTTCTATATCAACTTGAAATACATTCCCGGTCGAGATTTCAAACAGCATGACTGTCCGATTTGGTACGTCTCTCCATGGCACAGCGTTTCGTTGGAATGAAGGCGATATGTATGAAATCGATCTGTCATCAGTGCTAGCTAGACAAATATGAGGCATGATTAAGCTGGCACGTGCATATACGTATGTACAGGGGCCCCGGGGCGCGCGCGTGCGGCTGACGGCCCTCAACAAGTTCAGACGGTGGTCACGTTAAATTGTCGAGAAGAGCATGTACGGTACATGCAAGCATGGAATTTCTCACCCTCGTCACTTGCACCATGGCATGCATTGTGGATCCGAATCTGAGGGGATTATGGATTGTCAAGCGAATTCGCTTGACAATCCATAATCCACTTAACTTAAGTCAATGGTTGGCTAGAACGCCATTGAAAGCTTGCTCTGCGGGTAAAATACAAAAAATGCTTCAAAAAAGCTCGTATTTAAAAGACTCTCGGAGAATCGTTAATCTTCTGCACGTAAAAGGAGCTCGTATTGGCAATATTTTACATTAAGAAAAGCAGCCATACGCTGCTTACTATACATGTCGTTCTTGAAGGGTTAAAGCGCAGCTCGCATCAGATTGTCTTACAAACCTGCTACTGAAGCAACACAATGAGCCGCTTACTTCAAATGCTTATCAGGTTAGCACGTCCTATTTCAAGCATACCAATGCCCGGAGGACCCGTGGCTCCAACGTCTGGAGAGCACCTCGGAGCTTCCTTCCCCCGAGATTGGTCTATGGCTAGACGACTTGGTCACTTGGAGTCCTTTGTTGGAGGACGCCGCGCCTGGTAGAAAAGAAACGTCGCCTTAATGGACGGACTCGAAATGAGATCGTCAGCCCAGATTTGTAGGTGTCTTTGAACTGCAGTTGAATTTGCGTACTCTATTAGCAACTTCTTTTCTTTCAAGCGGGCCTTGGAGCACGCGAAAGACGGGAATGTCAATCAGACGGATGCACAATGTTTTCCGAAATGTTTGAGCTTCACATCTTCCTCTTGATCTTAGTCAGCAGACGCCCCCGACCCTTTAAACTAAACAATTCTGACCTGCTTCCACAATAAGCACTCTAGCCAGTCAGCTTACAGTTGGCTAACTAAGAGCCAGCTTGGCTCCCCAATCTTGCCACTTGACCGATATATACCTGTCCTTAAGTCAGATCCAGGTCCCCGGAGTTCTTAGGGTACAAAGTATGCTTTTGCAGCAGCACAACCAACTGCAAAGGCTTAGGATACCACAGAACTTGCTCAAGTCACTTACCCGCACTCTCCGCGCCCCCGTCCTTCCCCTCGGCCAGCCGCTGCACGATCTCGCTCAGCCCGCGCAGCTTCTCCTCCAGCCCATCTAGTTGCTTCAGCACCTGCTCCTTCTCCCGCTTCTTCGACCTGCTCCGCTGCAAACTAGGTCGGGGGGCTTCCCCCGGGCGCTTCCTCAGGGTCATGTCACGTGGCACCAGGACGTGCAGCCACGCGGGGAACCACTCCGGGTTGCACCGCTCGGCGGTCGACATATTGGTTTCGATGAGGAAGAGCATCTGGGCGCGGCCTCGGAGAAAGTGAACCTCCGCTTGCTTGCGCATCTTTTCGAACGTGCGGCTGATGATAGCGATGAGCACCGTCAGCATGATGATGGCCACGACTGCACGAGAAGAGGGGAGAGACGTCAGCATGACGTTAGCCACGACTGCACGAGCAGAGTGGAGCGACGGGGTCCAGAAGTTGCAAACGGGATTCCGAAAAGAGGGCCTACGGGTTCGCTTGCGAACGGGTCGAACGCGGCGAGATTGGACACACAGTGCCGTCGGAACGATGATAACCACCCCTGCGGGTTTGACTGGGCGAGAGACGTAAAAACAGACCTTGACACAAAGCTGCGTGCGCACTGGAAATAAGTAGAGAGGGAACGGAACAATGGAACAGCTTTTACAGGGCAAGGCTACCAACAGGGCCTCATACGTCAGGCGTGCGGCAAACATGGCACGGAGAGGTACGGCAAGCAAGAGTACAAGCCCTAAACTCACTAACGATGGACGACGGTCCACCAAAAGAACGGATAGCCAAACTTCGGCAACATGAAGACAGCAACGCCGGTTAGATTTACGGCAGGCCGACGGCAGACACGGTGGCAGGAACGGCGGCAAAACACGAAACCAAACTGGCAGAATGGGATTGAGGCAGCATCAATTGTGACCGGAAGGCCGGAACGAGAGCGGAACAGCGGGATTAGAGCGGAACGCCGGAGCCGGACCGGGCCTTACTGAGCATGAAGACGAGGAAGAGCGCGGTGGATGCCCAGCGGATTGTCTGCGGCTTTGCGTTGATGAAGGGGCACATGTCGACCTGGCCGAACATGGACTGGAACAGGAACACCGCGCTGCGGGGCCAGCTCGAGAACGGGTCGTACGACACGCCGCAGCGCTCTTGCACGCGCGTCGAGAGCCCGTCCGCATAGAGAAGCGTGTACGCGAGCGAGAAGGAGAGGAGAACTAGAAGGAGGACTACGAGGAAGGCTTTTATGTCGGCGACCACTTCGAGGAGCAGTGAAACGAGCGGACCGAACATGGAGAATGAAGTAAAGATCCAGAGGCCGCGCATGCAGATGAGGAGCGCGGACGCGGCGGAGACGATGTTGGTTGCGGAAACTAGGTTGGGGGGCACGGCGCCGAGGCCGCCCGCGCCGCGGTATGAGATTTGCGCCCAGATGAGGCCGACGGTGGCGGTGGTCATGAAGTTGTTGAGGAACCACACGAGCGCAATTGTGCGCGGCTGGCCCTGCTTGGAGAACCAGGTGCGGCGGTACCTGGAGGAAGGAAGAAGAAAGAGCAGGGTTCTAGACTGAGATCTAGGCCGGTGATTTCTGAGTTACAATCAGGCAGACATGTGCATTCTGGTCTTGCTTGGAGAACCAGGTGCGGCGATACCTGGGGGAGGGAGGAAGAGAGAGCCGGGTTCTAACTCAAGATCTGGCGGTTCTTTCTGGTTTACAATCTGGGCAGACATGTGTGCTGGCCCTGCTTGGAGAACCAGGTGCGGCGGTCCCTGGGAGAAGGTGAAAGAGAAAGAGCCCAGTTCTAGACTGCGACCTGGGCTGGTTCTTTCTGATTTACAATATGGGCAGACGTGTGTTGTTTTGGTCCTGTTTGAAGGACCAAGTGCGCGGTACTTGAGGGAAGGAGGGAGAGAGAGCGGGTTCTAGACTGGAAACTGGGCCGGTGGTTCCTGAGGTACAAACTAGGCAGACATGTGTGCTGGCCCTGCTTTGTGAGGCAGATGCGGGGTATTGGAGGAAGAGAGAGCCGACTTTTTAATGTCGCGACACTTAGGAATAGTAAGCTCAAGGAATAGTGAGCTCAACCAAACACTAAAACCCTAACCCATTGAATCTACCCGCTCCGCACCCGTACCCACCCTAAACCCCCAAACTAACCCTACCCGTCCCAGGCCGGTGATCTTACTATTCCTTGAGCTTACTATTCCTGAAGTGCTACGGTATGACTTTTAAGACCTGGGCTGAGATGTGTGGTGGCCCAGCATTGACAACCAGGTGCAACAGGATATTGGGGGAAACAATACGGAACAACCTATCCTACTCAGACGTGAAAGAACTAGACACGATACATGGAAAGACACGGACGAACTCTGCATCGAAATTGATTACCAGAGGGCTGATGAATTGATCTGTCTTCCAATCATGGATGTGATCGATAGGGAACGCAAGGGCATTGCTCACATAGAGCAAGAGGACAGGAAAAAAGAAGCAGATAAACAAATTTTGGTCATCTTCTATCAAAACCAGAGATGGAACACCGACTCCAATGACAGAAAAAAGGGGGTTAATGAGTCAGCAGCGACAATCAAGAACAAACAGTATGCAAGGTATGTCCTTCAAGATAAGGAGGATTTGGAACAGGAGCAGAGAAAGGATCTCACTTGATGAGGATCCCCAGGTGAAACACCACGAGCGTCGCGCCCGAGACATACGTCGCGCGCCCGGCGGCAGAATCCGTGCCCATGTTGGGCGACGATGTCGGAACCAGGACCACGATCAGAAACAGCAGCAGGTAGATCGTGTAGAGGACGACGGTCTTGGTAACAATCCAACGGCCGTAGGCGTTCCACTTGTGGTTCAGCAGCGCGCGCATGATGGCCGTCGTGAACACGTCGCGCGCCGTCTCGCGCGTGCAGTAGCGCACGATCGCCCAGAAGAGGTTCACTCTGCGGGGGGAAGGTCTGGTTAGTGGCCAGAAAAGCTTGTTGCGCGTTAGGCAACGAAGCTTCTGACTGGCAGTCCCGTGAAAGTGATTGAGCTGCCAAAAAGTGAATCCTTCTGCAGGCGCAGAAACTCAAAGCCTTGAGATCCCAATGACGTCAGGGGTGAAATGCTCAAGCAGACGAACAGATCCAGAGGCGTCTTTCCAAGTCAAATTTCTCTCTTCCGGCTTCCAAAGAGGACATAACGTGCTTGCCTGCTGTACCCCTCCATTTGATATTCCAACAGCACTTGCTATAAGCAAATAGACACCTCCTAGACTCCCGGGACTCTCAGGCTCTCGGAAATGCCAGACTCCCTTTCAGGTCGAAATTATGCACCAATCCTGCTCACCGGTAATCCGCCAAAGACAGCGTCCTCAACCGCACCATCTCACCTTTTGCGTGTGACAACTGTGCCAAAAGCCTCAACTCTTTCACGTCATTTATTCTGAAAACTCTCGATTCCGCTTGTGATTTCCGGACAGATTCTAGCACCAATCCTGCTTACCGGTAATCCGCCAACGACAGCGTCCGCAGCCGTACCATCCGCGCCTCCACAGGCTGACCCCCCCCTTGCCGCCCGCCCCCCATCGGGTTCCCAAACTCCGCCCGGCACTCCTCGCTCCTCCTAAACATGCACTTCACCCGCCGTATGAGACACCCCCGGCAATGACAACCGTGGGGGTGTCGCTGAATGAGGCCTTCCAGGTCTTGGATGTAGACTTCCCAGAGGCCCCGTTGGGAGATGCGGTCGCTCGGGAGCGTGAGGGAGTCGTCGTTCAGAACTGCCCACTCGACGCCTTCCGCAACCTGGGGAAGGCTGGGGCCCAGGCCGAGGGTGTCCAACAGGGGGGCCATCTGCGCCAGAAAGTTCGAAGGCTCAGAGATTCTGAAAAGTTACAAGCTTCTGAATAGACAACCCTTTTAAACCGAGCAAAATGTAAAAAAATTGCCGCGGAAAAAGATAGGGCCTAGGCCTACGGTGTCCAACAGAGGGGCCATCTGCGTGTGGAAAACCGGCAATTTCTGAGCAAATTTGACAGGGTTCTAGAAGCGAGTCAACAGATCACACGGATCCGTATTAAGGGCGCTCTCTTTGTCCATAGTAAACGAAGTAGACAAGGGCTAAAGAAAGGGGCCTAGATCAGAGAGGAATCAGAGATAGTCCTGTTTCGTGGCACGGGATCTCCAACGCTTGTAGATGCTTCACCCAATCAATTTGGTTGCTCCAAAGGTTGCTTCCCAACTCTTTCTCGCGATTAGTTTCCAAAGATGCTTTTGCGGGCCGTCTACCGCAAGGAGGAGATGGCGGTCTGGGAAGTTGGCTTCTTCGCAACGCACAGCGGGAAATCTCGACACGCTCAGCCGAGAGTTGGCCAATGACGGGCAACGAGTACAAGGAACCCACAAACGCGTTTGTCGACTCTGTGAAACCTTCCGATGTAAGCGCTGACCTCTTCTCCAGTCCACAGGCATCTCGTCAGATCGCACTCAGAAGTCAAAGTCCTCGGAGACAGACAAGCCACTCACCATGCTGGGGTATGCCCCCGCCACCGCAATGAGCCCCCGCACGAGCCCCCCCCGCGAGTACGCGCTCGTCCTCGTCGGGATCGCCTCCAGCAACTTTGACACCGCCTGCAGATCTCCTCGATCCACCGCCAATTCCAACACGTCACCCGTCCGTTCCCGTCCGTGCCAATCAACCCACGCGATCCTCCCCAGGTCCAGTGCTACCGGGGGGGCCACTCTCTGCGCCTTTTCGTGCCCCCTGTCTGGGAGGAGCTCCCCCGAGTTGAACGACGTGCTGCGGAGGCCGTCGTCGGTCCCCCCGTTCGCGAAGCGGTGCTCCTCCAGAAGGACCTCCAAAATGTCGCCCCCTCGGAGCGCGACCGCGACTGCAATTAGTGTCAAATGGTCGCCCCTAGTGGGCGACCCCTGCTGGAGTAAGTCCATCAGGCTGCACACCCCCCCGGGACTGACACCACTCGGGGGATCCCTCTCAGCGCTCTTGCTGGAAGCGTTCCGAGACCCCCGGCTGTTGTTCGAACTGGCGGCGCGCGCGCTGAAGCTCATACTGGGGGGCAGGCGCCAGGACACGATCCCCTTTTCGCGCAGGTTTACGATGCAGGGATAGCGCGCCAGCAGCTGCCGCATGAAGTCCATCTCGCGGGGGGGTAGCTGGCCGCTCTGCAGGGGGGCCGGGCTGGCCCCGTTTGCAGCCCCCTGGAGCGAACCCAAACTGCTGGCAGAGTACGCAAACTTCGACCCCTGGGGCTGGAGCGAGCGGAGCCCCCGTAACACATCGGAGAAAGACGGCTGCTGACTCGACAGAAACGTAATGTCGATCATCTTTATGAGCGACGTGCCCGGGATGGGCACCGCCACAAAGGATGACGTGGCGCGATCCTCGCCGTCGAACGTGCCGTAGCGCTTGTAGATGGCGTTGGAGGCGCTGATGATGTGTCTGGCGATGGGGGGGGGATCATGGGCGAGAACCAGAGGGGTTCGAGCGTGTGGATGTCGTAAGCTTGCGCCTCGCCGGGGCCGAGACAGACGACGGCATCGCCAGTAGGAGTGACGACGACGCGATTGAAACGTGTACTGCGATCACAGAAAAGATCAGTAAGGGAGCAAGTTCTCTCGTGTCCAGCGCCTTCCCTACTTCCGTCGTATTCCGCTCTGAACGGCTGAACCGGACTAGTGTAGAAAGCAGGCAAACAGTACTTCTGGAGGCGACGAGGGCTTCTCGATTGTGAACCAGAAGTGGGCATCCTTTGTCTCTACACTCGGACGACCCGCTTGGCCTGACCCTTCTTCCCTCTCTCCCTCGACACACTGACTAGCAGATTGACAGAGCCCAATCCGTTCTTGAAGCGCAATGAACTCTCATGCATAATATTTTCCAGCGCAGCTGCACAGCTTCAAAACGCCCCACCCACATCAACCTACCCCACGACGACGCGATGATAACGTCACTCACTTGAGCCGCGCCCGCTGCATCGTCCCGATGAAAGGCCCCCCTCCCGGGCCCTCCTCCGCCGAGTGCGGTCCCATAACCCACAGCTTGCTGCTCTTGCAACTCGTTTCCGTCACCAGCAGTGCGGTCGAGCCCTTGATCCCGTCTGCCGCGGCGCAGCTAATCACCTTTTGGTGCGCGCCCAGGCAGAGCAGCTCGAATGGCGTCCAAATGAGGGGGCCCTCTTCCTGGTACAGGGTGACCTTGTGCTCGCCGTTGAGGCAGATCAGCTCCGGGCCTGAAGAAACGGGTTTTTGAATGTCAGCCCGCCAAGATCAGCTCTTCGGGGGAAGCGCGCAACCGCTCAATCGTTTAGAGCTGCGAAGGTTCGGTCTCATGAACCAAGGTGCAAGATGGTTTTGCTTATCCTGAGTAAAAACTCTTTCATCACTGTAGAACGCCAAGAATTTCTGCCAGCATGCAAAGCCGCTGTAGCAGTCACAGGACATCCTTGAACACCCTGACTTCTTCCTTAGGTTGATTGTTCATCTATGGGGTAGATTAATTTCACCCCGACGAAAACCAAGTGCATCTCACAATGAGCATGTAACACAGTCAAGTTCACCCCATCTTGCGCAAGCCCCCATCCTCACCCTACGCGAACCGAACTTGGGCTCAGCGGCATCATTGAATCTAAAGAGAACCCACCTGTCGGACCCTGTCGGAAGCTTGCCGACTGAAACCCATCCTCGTGTTTCAGCACCACGCTCGGCGGCTGCGTCGACATCGTAAACAGGGCCTCGCTCGCGTCGCTTCCGTTCTCGCTCCCGTTCTCGCTGCTCCCGGGTTGCCCTGCGGACGTCCGCGAGCCGACCGACGGACTCTCCGAAGAACGGTCGGACCGTCCGGCGGGCCATGCGGACACCGCCCACAGGTGGACTTCCGTTCGGAGGGCCGGAAGGGCGGAATCCGGTTCGAGGACGGTGGCAAGGCCCTGCTTGACGATGACGGACGCGAGGCGGCCGTCGTGCGAGAACTGGATGCGCGTCACCTCGCCGTCCAGCTTCTTGGCCCACCTGCAGGGGGATAAGCTGATGTCAACAACCGCGGGAACAGTCACGTCAGCGTGCTTAGCGAAAAAGAAGGGGCCTAATAATGTTAGAATCAGCTTTTCGCTGGTTCACAATCATTTTGGCAAACCCTTACCGACACTGCCACCGTTTGCAAATCAACGACAGTAAAGCCTTTTGTATCGACCAAAAGCAGCGGATGCAACAAGCGACCGGCAAAGAGGACTCCAACGCCTACTCCAAGGTGGAGAACATTCTCGAGACAGGAGAAATACAATCAGCAACTGTGCTCTACGTGGAAAGAGTCGATATGCAACGCAGACGGCCTTGAACGTCCTCTCAAAGTCACGCTAGCAAAAAATAAGATGACCAAACCAGTGCACTTTACAACAGAAATGCTGACCTTAGGTCACAGCGGCCGCCCTTGATCCACCACGCCGCAATCGCGTCATCCCGCGTGCTGCCGCTGCCCGAGTGTGACGTCAGCAGCCAGCGCCCGTCCGGGGACAGCTCTAGGTGCTCTATGCTGTCCAGATGAGGTGGCAGCACCGTGATGCGCTCAGCCCACCGCCGCTCTTCCTCCACCCATCTGAACAAAATTGATTGTCTCATCTGTAAGTGCTGATCTGCTCTACGAAAGTGGCGCACAGCCTCGTGTCTGTTTGCTAGGAATTTTGGGCTTTTTGAAACGACTGGGATGCCTGCACATCTGCATCCAGCAAGCGACTGTAACGAAGTGGTGCCGACAGCGCCAAAAGTTAGCAACTGACATGGAAGCGGTACGAACGTCTGTGAAGGAGATGCAAGGTTAACTGTTTGAGATTGTAAGTGAAAGCCTACAATGTCGTGGCACCAGTAGGGAAAAGGCTTTTTCCCTCGGGTTCAGGACAGATCAAACCAATCATTGCATTAACAAAACATCTCTGAAGAGTAGGCGTTAACTTTTCAAACCACAAACAACTGCAGGGCAGGTTGACAGAAATGTATCACCCCCTGCCACGGTCCCGCTGAGCGTTCTCCAGGCCCGTCACAAATTCCAGAGACAGACCCGTTCCAGTAGACTGGTGATCAAAGCACCCTGACTGCCTCCATAGCCCAAACCACGTTGACGAGTCCGAGCCCGACGTTGTCAACCTACTGTCCCCGTGTACAATCGCCCGCTTCGACCGGTCACCATTCGAGCCCTCAAAAAGTTGGCACTGCGAGCATGTTGAGGCGCGGGAACCATCTTATGCGATCCAGAAACGCCCTCTCACCTGAACACGGCAACACACTTGATGATCTCCCTCGTGACGTCGTCGTTCCGCCAGCCCCCGCACGCCATGAAGTGTCCACACCACGAGACGCACGCGCCGCTCATTTGCATGCCAGCTGGCGCCTCGTACGTCATCGCCCCCCGGCCGTTCCAGGGAGCGAGCGTCACGTGGCCCCCGTCGTCGATACCGACGAAGTGATCGCCGTCGCTGGAGATCGCGCAGTGCTGCCAGGCGACGCGGCTGGACTGCAGCTCCTGCGAGAAGAAAAGCGGCTCGTATGTGAGAGCATGTTTGAAATTGACCGCCGGCCAAAACCCAGCCCGGTTGAGCGTAATTTGGGCTTGTCGGCCTGTGGCCAATACTTTTGAGTGTACTCAACGACAAAGGGATCGGGCAGGGACTTTGGGGTGAATCTCATCATCTGGTCGATTAGTATTTGGAGCCGCGGATTCATGGCAAACATCACGGGTATAAACGGTGCCTTATCGGGCCCGGATGGTGATTCCTTTCGAACCAAGAAACTAGTGGGAACACGCTGCAGAATCTGGCATGCTTGAGCGAAAAACCAAAGGTCGCTGATTGCAAGTTAACATCTTGTAGGAGGAACAGGCAAGTCTCAGATCTTGAAGGAGATGCACAAACATGGCCCATACCTTGGTGTACAGTGGCGCCATGCTGTTTGCGTCCCACACCGTCAGCGTCGACCCCTCCTCCCCGATCGTCAACACCTTCCCCGACTCTGCCGCCAGACTGACAGCTGTCACGTCCTGCATGTAGTGCGCCTCCGACCAGGACCACAGGTTCTGGGTTAAACTGCGGGGGGCCCTCTCCCAGACTTTAACCTCTACTTGCGAGGCCTGTTCCCAGAGTGCGTCATAGCCCGCCAGCACCTGAACAGGGCCTCCTTCCAGAGAGCGGATGTGCACGGAAACGGGGAACTCGCCGTCAGCTCCGAGGGAGTGCACGGATGAGCGCTCGAGGCCCGTCTTGCGGTGGTCGCGCACCTCCCAAACCTGAAGGATTGGGACGAATGTCTGTGTTTAAAAGCGGGTTGCATGCTGGAATAGGATTGGCTTAGACAATTATGTTGGACGAGCCCTCCTTAGGTCGCCCTTCATGACAGTCGGGTCGATTTGTTGGAAGCATGAATCACTTGTCAACATGGGAAACACTGAACTTCAACGGATGCACACAGTCAAAGGAACAGACAAGGGACGTCATAGTTACTACTGTAGCGGCTGACTTTCGAATGAAGCCGTAAGCTTCTTCATGGGACCGGCAAGCACTAACCTGCCTTCTCACTCGACCCAGTAGCAGCTGTCAAAAAGATTTTCGTGAAATTATCAAGTTTCAAAAGGCTCATGACCTTGTTATTAGGCATTCTTTCCATACTGTGCGCCAAGTTTCCAACAGCCCGCTAAGAGGTGGCCCGTTATCCATAGCTCATCAGAAGATGTCTTGAGAGTCCCTCATCCGACTATAAACCTGCAGTTGACCCCTAGGAACCTTGTACAGCATCACCAGGAACGTGAGTTAGCGACTAACCTGCAGAACGTCCGCCTCCATCGCCACGCCAAACCAGTACCCCCTCCCATCGGACATTGCATCGACGTCCAAACCCAGCACCGGCCGCCCCTCTCCCGCCCCCAACACTTTGGGTAACGTATTCTGCCCCTCGGGACTTACGTCCCATAAGAGCACATCCCCAATGCCCCCTCCCGTCACCACATAGAAACCGTCCGGAGTGAAGCGCACCGCGGAGATGTTAGAAACTAGCCCCGCAGGGTTAACGAAAACCCGGGGCTTGCTCCCCTGCCAGAAGCGCTGCGTCTCGGCGGCGTCGGAGCCGAGGCTTTTCGGTGCGGGACTGACGAGACCGTCAACCGGAGGCGCATAAGGGACCACTTCGCCGTTCGCGCCACTGCTCTGCTCCTCCTTGATCGTGATCACAACGTCCTTCTTCCTGAGCCCCGTGAGCGACCCGATCGGCGCGATGATCGTCGACTGAATCGTTTCTTTCGCCGTCATGAAGAAATCGGGCCGCGGTTCCTTGACCCCTTGGCTTGGCGCATTTCGGCTATTCTTCAAGAGAGACCGCACGACACACCGCCGCCGCCAGCCGACGTTCCCGATCCAGCTCGAAGTCCCGGTGCTCCTGGTAGACCCTCCGTACGAACTCCGACTGTATCTACTCCCCCCCTCGCCCTTGGCATCCAGATTCCAGACAAGCAGCTGACCCTTCTCCGTCCCTGCGGCCAGCAGGCACACGTGCGCGCTGTGCAACTGCGAGATCCACTGCTCCTTGGAGGGGTCAATCTCTTCCTCATCATCGTCCGAAAAGTCATTCGGACCATTGGAAGCGGCGTCCGAAGACGTGGAACTGAACGAGCTGAGTTGGGTGAGCTCGGTGAGGCTCTCCTGAATGAGCGAGTCTTGGGGGGGGCACCAGAGGGCGATGCAGTTCACGTGGTGGCCGGCAGACCAAAGGGAGTGGACGGTGCCTTTGCCGGTGTTGTAGACTTGCACGATGCCAGAATGCAGTAGAATGACGATGTACCTGGTTGTAAGACGACGGGAGAGATCTGTATGTGGCGTGTGAAATGTTGTGGCTTGTGAGGCTGACGTGGCTTGAGACAGATGCTTCAGAGGAGGATGACGACATACGACATTCAGAGAATCTTCAGATGGAGAGGAAGATGCGAAACAGCAGATGACAAAAAGTCCAAACAAGGGGGGAAAAGTAGTATTGCGGCTTGAGAGTCCTAAAATGACGGTGGTGTCAATTTCAGTATGTTCTTCCCCCTTCCCATCCGTGATATGACCACTATGTCTTCACATAACGCTGGTAAGATTGATCACTGGTATACATGTGGTTTAGCAACACAAAACAGGCATACAGTTTGCTATCTCTTCAATTTTAAGCGGTGGTGACAAGTGGGGTTTTCTCAAATCTGGATGGCCTATCAGACTTCTCACCTGGCATCGAGGTTTTGGTGCACATAAGCAATGTACAAGTTTGCTTTACTTTCAGATGACGATAGACTCTCCAAAGACAGCCCAGCGTAAGCAATACTGCCATATTGGATAGTGTCCGCTTCACGATACTACATGAATGGAGAGACGAACATTATGCAAAAGTGTCATCATCTCCAATCAAGCGAAGTACTTTTCGGATGGGTCAAGACTTGACAGAATAAGCAAGGAGACCTTGAAAATACACCTGATCCTAAGCTCAGCCAAATGCAATCCTGTTCCAAGAAGAGGAAGGAAGTTTGAGAATTAAAGAGAGCAATGAACAGTGTCTTTCTTCCTTGCTAAGTAGTCTTCTGCATCTTAGTTGTCAAGAAGTCACTTTCGATGCTCCTCAAACCTCACCTTCCATCCTGTGCAATCCTGATCTGCTTCACTGATGACTCAGCGGTTTCTTCTGTCAGTGGCCACCTTCGAATGCGATTCTGTGAGGGGTGCAGCAGCCTGTTCTGAGTACGTCGCGCACTCTGCGCTGCAGGATTCAACCCAGACGACGTGCTACCGCTGCCCGCAGTCGACGGCCTCTTTGAGTACATCCTGACACCAGGATCTCAATTGTCAAAACATGTTAAAGAACAATGGGCAGCATGAACTTCCTCAGCAAGGCTCGGTTGACCTCCGTCTCAAAACACTCTACCAAATGACCTAGGTAAAGTATGCTGCTCCACGGTCCTGTTGGCAAAACCTCTTAAAGTTGAAGACTGGCGCCTGGGCAGAGATTTTCTCCATGAGGCAAGCCTTCTTCTTGAACACAGCAACTCAGCTGAGCATGACTCTGACTGATGGTTTCTTTGAGCTGAGACAAGCTGACATCAGCTGCTCAGGGATTGAGGGCAAGCCAGCCAGCCGTTCGATACAAAGCTTCCTTGCGTAAACCGTTGGATGGATTTAGAAGCTGGCTAAGCAGCAGCACGCCTAATTCCGGGCAGAAGGCCTCAGCGGACGGCCCCCTCGCGGCCGCTCGCGCGCTGGATGATCATGGGCCTCCCGCGCGCGAGCATCAGCAATTCAGGGCGCCCAACCTCAATGGACATTGCATGTGCACTAGAAAATCCTACTAGTACTACACAGCTGAGAGCGTCGCATGGATTACATGTGAAGCATGGCATTGCTGTGTATGATATAAGCAGAAACCATTCAAGGAGAGTCCTGCAGGACATCGACAAGGTCTCAAATAAAGCCGTTGTAAAGTTAGGCAAACCCGCTTAACACTACAAAGTGGATGGAGAATCTCCATCTGACACGACGTGCATTCAATCAGCTAGCTCTGAATTAGGCTGCATTTTATTCAAGGATGTGTAGATCGAGTGATCGCTTTGAGGGCTGGTCGGCTCAAGAAGATATGCGATTTGTTGCTAAGTGGAAAACCGCCCCTGGCCGCCATGTTTTGCCAGCCTATCTCTATATTTTTGGAATTCACTGCTATTAAGTTGAGTCCATACAAGGCCAGCCACATTACTTTCAATAAGTCATCTGCAAGGAGATCACATCGAGCACAAATCCTACGTCTCATATAAGCGCGCCTAGCTGACAGTCATGACAGGAGCGCCGTCTCTCGTCCCTCTCAATTATGCACTTTGGTCGGACTCATGCACGTCAATGCACTGAGCCGATGTTTTATGTGATTACAAAAGCCTGCTACTGATATGTTAGCTTCAGAGCATGATAATGCAACCAAAGTGTACATTCGTCCGGTTCAACAGTTTCCAATGCAGAAACCCATACGTTCTCTTCACATTGCCTCTCAGGGGCCTAAGAAATCGTCGAGATTGCTTGGATCCAACATGACCATGATCAAGATTCATACATGGAATGCAAGCTTGCCTGCATCATTAACTCATAAAATTCCTGGGCCCAATTGATCTAAGTAAAGCCAACCAGCACATATTAAATGGGCCGAATTTACGAACCCTTTCACACTTCCAAACATGGGCTTTCAGACGGCACAAAAGGTCTCAACGCAACAAGAACCTTTTGGTATTAAGAACCATCCCATTCGCTCTACCCTTTTCACTACCTGACGTCGAACATGGATCATACCTTCTGATGTGCAGACTCAACGGGAGTCTCAATCGCTTGCGCCATTGCGCTTGCTATTTCGTCTATTTCTGCGAGAGCCGCTACTCGTGGCGGAACCTTCTGTCGGGTGCCACGCGGACCGGCCCTCTCCCATGCCATCGCGGCGACCTTCTTGATTCCCGCTCGCTCGTAAGCCATCGCAATAGTACTCCAAGAGACCTGCACGAAAAGAAGGCGCAAGGCATGAAAGCACGCAAAAGCTAAATGCAGAATGTTTGCACACATCTCATGCGTCGTACTGCTTTCCGACACCTTCGATGTAAAGAAGGTGTAAACAAACCAATTGACGACTTTGGCTGCCCGTGGCTACCCGTGCCCTACAGCAGGAAAGAACGGTAAAGCTCGTAGATGCTGCAAAGTTCGCTCCAATCGGTATACCAGTAAGCGTCAAGCATGCCACCGGGTTTCAGGATGCTCAGAGCACGGTTCTTGATCTTGGACCTTACGATTGACAATCCGATGACAACCGACGGCTCAAGAGATTGCAATCCTCAAGCAGAGCCTGGAAACCGGGACTGCAGATCTGACGCGCGGAGCGGTTATTTCCGACAGTATGTCAGCGGCGGAGATTAAAAAAATGGGATCAATCTGGAAAAGGTCGCCGCGCGGCCGCGCTCACCGTATCAGGCTCCACGCCCGCGAGCGTCATCTTGCGCAGCGTGTCGTCGAGGGGCTTCATGCGCTGCGCTTCGCCGTAACCCTTGAGCAGCGTGTTCCACGTAATCAGGTTGGGCACGTGCTCGCCCAACAGAAGGTTCCGGAACACCGCCTCCATGTCCTCCACCTGGGGAGGCGCAAATTCTAGGATTAAGGATTTTTCTAATGAGATTTTAGAGACTTGCGTATGGTGATGCTAATTTCTGGGGGCTGATCCAAATCGGCACGTGCTCGCCCAACAGGATGTTTCGAATTACCGCTTCTAAATGTTCACACTGAGCAAAAACAGGTTCCACGTCAGGGTTCGGCTATGGGTGGGGTCTGAGATTCCGGGGTTTGCTTTCGAGAGCTATCCGAAAGCGACACATGCTCGTTGTCGAGCAGACGGCGAGACACCGCCCATATTTTTCAACAAGAAAAACCTGAATTAAAGATCACATCAAGAACGCAGGGATTTATACTTCTGAATTCACACCGATCTAGCGAAGAAGACCTTTCAACCCCGGAGTTTTCACGGCTTCTGATTGGCGAACGCATTGTATGTGCCCATTGCTGACGCCACCCTGCCTCTCACATCGACAGATACCCCGTTCCAACCTGGTAATCTGGAACTTTACAACCCTGGAAAGCGTAGACCCTGAAACAACAACTCTTCATGGCAAACGCGTCCAATACCGCGTGGTTACTGACTGTCTGTGCCGAAACGAATCTGACAAGGATGCCGTTCACAACCTGGTCCAACACCTTACAATCCAGAAATATCCATTCTTTGAATCGCAAACCCAAACTCCCAAACCCTGAAACCCTCACCCGCTTCTCGTTGGCGAAGGCGTCCAGCACCGCGTTGTACGTCACGATCGTTGGCGCCACGCCCGCGCGGCTCATGCGGTGCAGCAGGGCCTTCGCCTTATCCGCCTGGTTACTTTTTCCGTAACCCATGATCAGGCCGTTGAAGACGGCCGCGTTTCCCGGCAGCCCGGCGCTCTGCATCTCCTCAAAGTACTGCGAGGGAGACGGAACGGAAGGCTTTATGTTCTAGGAATAAGGAAAAGATTGTTTCCCCAGCAACCCCTGGTCATTAGCCCGTCGAAAAGTGCCGCACTTTTGCTAGCCCCGCCTTTGACTCTCCTTACAGAACGGTACCAGAGGGCAATTGTTCAAACAGGTTGCTCCTTGTTGAGACCATGCAGATAGAGTTGGGTGAGAGTTACATGAAACTTCCGAGTCGCTACGTTTCGACTACGGAGCCAGCCTGCCGAAGTGGCCGTATTCTCCAGCACCTCAGCGCTTCTGCATCCGCTCGAAGCAATGCATGAAGACGTGAAGGCTTGTGAGTACTCGCAACTGTGATGCCGGCTAACGTACGGTTAGCGTCTGTGCCAGGATCGACCCAATCCGTGTTCCGTTGATGGTCTTTCCCACAACCCGCGCAAACTCTATCAAACTCCCAGTCCGTGAAGACGATTCTACGTTCCAATTAAGGCCGTCTATATCATCAGCCCGACGAAACCGGCTGCTTCCGCAAAAGCACCGTGCCCTGCCTTCCTGGTATGAATTTATGCGCAGAATCCAAAGATCACTGTTTGCGTTCTAGCAAAGTCTGTGACCCTTCATACCGCTGACGTCACGTTGGACGCTCACCTTCTCGGCGCGCTCCCACTCCCCAGCGCGCCCGAACGCGTCCATCAGCGTCCCGTACACGATGACGTCAGGCTCGATTCCCGCCTGCTGCATCGACCGGAACGCGCCCTCCATTTGCTCCCACTCCTTGTTGCGCCCGTGCATCTTCATCAGAATGCTGCACGCAGGCGAATCGTAGGAGTGAGAACTTTGCCAATTTTTGTGGCTTTGAACAGCTCTTTCTGTGCTCCAGGCCGCTGATCAAACTTGGTGAGACAATCGTAGTGGTTCACGCTAGTACTGACACTCGGAGAGTGCAGTGTGGCGGGGCTGACTTATCGACTGAACTCGATCTCCTATCGTTGTGGCTCTAGCTAGGGAGCTGGAATCGCGCATTGGCTCAGTATCGCTCAATTCAATCGCATACGAAGCTCTCGGGGCCGCTAAAGATACACTCAGGCTGGCACGTCGCAACTCGCTGCCGAAAGACCGCAAGACTCAGAAGCCGTCTCAAGAACTCAATTCAGGCTACTTCACATCGATTATCCATCGAAGTTGCACGTGAACTGACGCGGGGCCACTTCGAAAACCTCTCTCAAAAACGGCGGCTTACCTGTATGTCGACATGCTAGGCTGGAGGCCCTGTTGGATCATCTCCTGCACCAGTGCGTCAGCCTCGGCGGCGCGCCCCGCAGGGCCTAGCGAGTCGATCAGGACGTTGTACGTAATGGTGTCCGGGTCCGCCCCTTCGGACCGCATCTCTTTCAGAAGGGAGAAAGCGGAGTCAAAGTCCCCGGCCTTGGCGAAAGCTGCACGAAGCGGCGGAAGCGGTTAAATCCGGGTCAAGAAGGATCAGCACGAGAACTTGCGAGTGAAGTACGAAGTTGGGGTGTCCGAGTCCGCCCCTTCGGACCGCATCTCTTTGAGGAGGTGGAAGGCGGAATCAAAGTCACCGGCATTTGCGAAAGCTGCACGAAGGGGGAAAAGCGGTTACATTTTGGATCAAGAAGGATCAGCGCAAAAAATCTTTGGGTGAAGAACGAAGTTAGGGTAACCGGATGCGCGCCCTCGGGCCGCATTTCTGTGAGGAGGGTAAACGTGGAATCTAAGTCACCGGCCTTGGCGAAAGCTGCACGGATCGAAAGAAGCAACTGGTTTTTCGGGTGGGAGTAGTACCACTTCGCCGCACCTTCATCGTCGCTTTTTGGTCAGCGGACGGTCATATAGACTAGAGGGAGTAGGAGAAGCTTAGCCCTTTTGGTATCAGACTGAATGCATACGCAACTGAGCGAGAACGCGGCGCGACTGAAGGGACTGACAATGACATGGAAAACGAACTTGTATCTTTCTGCACCGTGACAACGCGAATTGAAGGACAACTTAAGATGGCACGCTTGGCACGTAGCTTGCGCAAAAGCTTTTCTTAGCCGTCGTGCTTGTCGAGAGCTGCGAACCTTAATATCACTTGTAGTAATCACAGAATAGGGGCTCTCGAAGCTCACCGGATATGAGAGAGGTGTACGTTCTATTGTTGGGTTTCAGCCTCGCTTCCCGCATCTCCGACAGCAGGTCCCGCAGCCGCTGGGGCTCGACCCGAGACTTGACACCAGTGTTGAGAAGCGCGTTGTAGGTGACCTCTGTTGCCCGAACTGACCGGTCCTGATGAGCGAAGTCTGGTGTTAAAGCCAGCCCAGTGCGCGCCAAAAGTTGGGGCCAGAGTAAACGTTTATTCTCATAAAAACCACGACGAGCAAATCTTTCTAACGTTCTCAGACTTCTGAGGGCGTGTAAAGCGGCAAAGCTTTCGTCTTGACATCGAAGTATTCAAGGGGTTCTCCAGGACTGCTGGAAAATCTGTACAGCCTTATGAGCTTTCATTTCGAACGAGTGATGGCCCACGGTGGAAGTTTCCAGCTCCAAGCTTGCCTTGATTTTTCTGGGACAAAGTGGGATCCTTTGAGTTGAGGCTTGGAGAAGTGTCTGTAGACAGCTTCGGTGTAATTCAGTATTCTTCGTTCAAGCTATAGTTGGAGAAGCTTTGAAAAATGGCTGATCAGGCGATTTCTCACCGCCTTGAGTTTTTGCACGATCTCCGTCGCGCTTTCAAACGCCTGCGCCCCGACCTGCGCGCTTATGGCCGAGTTGTAACATTTAATGTCCGGAGCGACGCCGGACGCTGCCATCTCGTCCAGAGCTTTGGACGCCAATGACGACAGCCTGCCACGTGGAGCAACAGCAGATGTCAGGATATTCTAACCGTAAATTGATCTGTATGTGAGATGTAGCATTGGCTCATGGCTGTGAGAATCATTCTTGTCTCCTCTTGAAGATCTTTCACCAATTCAACTCTGAGGAATGCTCGAAGAGTTTGTGCGGATTCAGCCTAAAGCCTCAAGTTTCACCTCTGTCCGATAAACCTGTGCTGCTGTTTGCAGCTGGTGACATGACAAACAATTTCTACTTCCCAACCGGCGAGACCGGGCAGAACGAAAGTGCGAGCTGAATCTAATGAAAATTCTGACTCCCGTTTGGATACCGTACACTACCTGAGCAGATTGGAACACCGTTCCTTTTTCCTGCCCTCTCTTACTGAAAACTTGAGCGTAGCATTATACAGTAACCAGACGATCTACAGACCACAAACTAGAGCAAAAGGGAAAGAGTCGTTCGTTGCGCTTACGAAGTATCGCCCTAGGACTGCAGATATCCGTGACAGTTTCTTACCTGTTCTTGCCGAGAAGTCCCAACAGAGTGGTGTAGATGATCGTATTTGGGGGGCAGTCCCTCTGCGTCTTCATCCAATCCACCACTTGCACTGCCGCCTGGATTCCCAGTACTGACTCAACCAGACGAAGCAACCGGTTCCATTCTGGCATGCTCAGGCGAGCACCCCAGCCTTCCAAAACGTCCGAAATCGGCTGTCCCCGTCCGATCTTCAGTGCTTCGAGGGCATCGTCCGCACGCATTCTTGTGGGGGCTGGGCCCCTGAAAAGAGTGGGGACAAAACCAGATTGAGTGACTAGATTGAGTGAAAGGTGATGCGGTGAGAAGAGTCCAGATCCCTTGCCTTTATGCAACTTTCAATAGCTTCGAAGGCGTTGTGGGCACGCATCCTCATCGGGGCTGGGCCTTGGAAAGAGGGGAGGCAGAAAGAAGTAACTAGATGGGTACAGAAAGATGCAATGGAAAGAGTCCAGATTCATTGCCTTTGTGCGAGCTTCAGTGCTTCAAAGGCGTCGTTTGCGCAGAGTCTTGTTGGGGCTGGGGGCCTGAGAAGTTGGGGCAGATTTTGAGCAACTAGACTAGAAGCAGTCGTAACTCAGATGATAGTCCTGGTTCGAATGCCCCTGTGCAAGACCGGCGCCGCAAACACGTCCAGACGGTGCCCTGTGTGAATGGGGGCCAGGAAAACGGGGCAAAGGTGTTGAGCTCTTTGTTGCTTGCTTCTGTTTGAAAGTAACGTGCGGAAAGCAAGACGACCAGGAGATAGTGAACACTAGCTGATTGCGCCATTGGCGGGCACTTGGGAAGCAGCCCTGAAGAATTCAACGTGGGAGTGGCATAATCCGCCGAGAGATCGAGAATGGGCCGTCCGAATAGGGCGCTTTCCAACATAGCGGACAGAAGAGGCACAGTGCTTTCAGCATCGTCCTTAGACAAAGCCAACAGGCTTGAGAGGAGTGAAGTAGACTATCCTGCGAGACTTACGAATCACTAAGTCAGCGTTGCATCAGTCGAAGAAGAGTCACAAGAACCGCTTCGGAAACTAGGCGTTGCTGTAGTGAAATCAACATCATTGCGTCGATGACATACCTTTGAACGTACTGCCTCCCCCCGCCTCTTGTCCAAACATCTTGTCCCCTTGTCTCGACCTCCTCTGCGTTGATTACATCTCGTCTATCGTACCCCCTCCGTTGGCTTCCCCCCCGTCCCCTCCCCCGCCCACCCCTTCTCCCTTCTCCAGAACCCTCCCCCCTGGAAGAACCTTCATATGCTGCGTTCCTTTCATAACGCTGTCCGAACCCACCCCCCTCTCTGGTTACACCCTCTCCCCCTCCTCTGCTTGGATACCTCTCATCGCCATATCCGCCCCTCCGAGGCCCCCTGGAATCTCTTCCAGATTCGAAGTCTTGAAAGCCACCATTGCGTCCTGTATCATACTCTTTCCGTTGCACCCCCCTTGATGTCCTCTCAACATCAGACGTTCTGTATTCTCGTCCACCCACCCTCCTCTCTTGACTTTGGTAGCCTCCCTCGAAGCTGCCACTCCTACCTCTCCCCGCAGCCTGCTGCTCCTGCGACCCTGCTCCGGGGCCCCCACCTTCGTCGCTGTCCCAGGGGGATCTCCTATCGTTTTGCAAGCTCCTAGCACACAATAGCTTACGGCCCCCCCTGCCAAGTCCCTCAGCTCCTACCCCGAACTTTTCTCCAAATTCCCCCAACCCAGTCTTCCTCCTGAAAGGATTTGAATCCCAATTTGGAAAACCTGCACTGCCCCATACCAAGCGCCTCTCTACTTCTGCAGATATATGGCCAGCAGATGGAGTCGTGGCCTTAGCAGAGGCGTGGCAGCTCGGCACAATGTGTGCAGCTCCATTAAGTTCCCTCCCAGAAGTGCGACCACCCCTACCATCGGAACCGCATAAGGCAAGGCACGCTTGGGAAGCACCTGAAAACGATGCTGTGTTGCTCATCTTCCGTGACGTGAAGGTGTTGATTTAAACTTTCTTCCTAGCAGCACACTACCACCATGCTCATCAGGGCTGGCGCAAAAGACGAGTACTTTTGTTCCCGAATGCTGGCAGCGCTCCCTCCAGAGACACTTCAGCAGGCCTCCCAATTAGCCGCCTGTGTTCCTTTGAATTCCCCAGCACTTGCGAAAGTGAGAGTTTGATGCCGCATTGCTGGATGCTTGTGGCGAGTTCTGATGAGCACCTCAGGGCTGAGGCCCGTGAGGGCGGCTGTGACAATTTGATCATGATTTTAAGCTTTAACATTCTTGGGCAAATCATTACCGGACTAGTGCTCATACTAGTTGCCTCGGAGTCATATCCACATGTGTAGGTCCCAGACCTTTGGTCTGCACTAGGTATGTACCGCTAGTCTACAGCAGGCTTCTTCGGCTGGGCATTGAACTTGAACTTGAACTTTGAAGTTGAAAAGTCGAGCTTCGCATTCCAGTGTCTTCAACAAGAGCGTTCTTCTGCAAACATCTGGATGGTGCCAATACAGCACTTTCACTGCTTTCAAAGAGAAGTGGCCGTGTTCACTTGTCCTCCTGGTTGTTGGTTCGCAGCTCGCACCAGAGCAAATTGATGCAGATTGGACGCCACCAGTAACCAGCTGCAATGGGGACTGGAGGAAGGCGCGTCAAAGAGGGTGTCAAAACGAGAATTATTGCTCCTGCTGAGGGCCTGCCCGGGCTGCCGCCTCCTTCCGATTCAGACTCGTACACGAGTGACTCCCTCTCTGATTCTTCTGACAGGTAGGCACGGTTTCATAATTCTCTGATGTTATGATGCACAATGGTGGTCATTGAAGACGGACAAAATGCCCTTATTTGTTGGCAAGCATTGTATCGTCTCGATTAGATCTGGATGCCTGCATTAGGTCGTTTTTTGATTAGTCTTCTTGAACAGTGGCTGTCAAATAAATTATAAAAGCTGTGTTATCCTAGATATCATGGTGATCAGTTTCAAAAAGATCGATTGATCCTACAATCGGCTTAGACTATTTACAAGTACAGGCCAAAGAAGAAAAAGAAGAAAACGGTTTTGATAGTCTGAAACTCTTACATGTGAAAGTATCTCAACAAACCTGCTACAATTGGTGATCGACCAATGCTGAAGCTGCTCTAATATTAGGACAGAATCCTACAGACACGTCCTCCATTGACTTTGAAATGGTAAGCACCCAACTTGTAAAGCTGCCGGTTGTGCAGTAAAATAAAAGTGAGCGTTAAATTGAACCGCAGTCCTCTAAAAGAAGACTTTTTCAAGAAGGGCACAGAAAACAAAAGCGTTTAAGCCTGAATCTCAAGATGCTGCACAATCACTCCATCTTCCGTCCATTGCAGTTCGGGGTTCAGCAGCGGCTCCGATGTCTCCAGCCCGCGACGAGGGGGTCATGTTCGGAGAAGGTCACCTCCTCCTGCGGTTGACAAAAGGGCCACCCTGAAGCAGCGGGAAAGGAGCCCCCATGAGCGGGAGCGCACTGAAAGGAAGAGGCGACGATCTGAGGTACTCAACGAGGGATCTTTGAGCATGTTCATTCCACTTTCAGAGCGTGAATGCTTTTTGAAAGACTTACATTTGGGTGAATGATGGCCCCTGCAGTAAAGTAATTCGTGATGCATTCTGATAGAGGTCTGATGAAACTGGATGCAGGGAACTAAAAAGGGTCATTGGTTGACACCAAGTAAAGAGAGCGCTGTAAAGTTTTCTGCTTTCGAGAAGGACTGGACAAGAAACTTGATCCTAGGGCCATCTCTGATCTTTCAACTAGACTCGCAGGCCCTGGATGCGAACAACATGAATAGCAAGTCTGATTACTGGTTACTTCAGGCAGCATAGACTCTGTGCATGCTTATGAGAAGCGTAATGCAATGGTTAAGCAGTCCAGACACTGAGCTTCTGCAAGCATATTTGTGGCAGATGCAAGCCCGTCGATGAGGGTACTCATGTTGTATGGCACCTTTTTAAAGAGCAGCGTCGCACCTCTTTTCAGAAAAGGCGGACCTGATAGTTGACTCCCTTATGTACAGGCATGGCCAGCCTTGATTGCTTGCTGTTTTTGGTCCTAAGCTAGTCAGCGTGAAGTTGGATTGGCTTAGGCAGTCTGCAAGACAGTGCTTCGTCTCTCTTTGCTTAAAGCATTGCTTAGTCCCCACCCACTCTAAGCACGGCTTGTTTCTGCAGAGTTCAACTTCTCATCCTTTCCCTTGATGTCAAGAAGACTGCAGACTCGTTCTCTTTGCTTTCCCTTGACATCGAGAAGAGAAAATAAACACTGTACTCGGCAAAAAGTGTCCACCAAAAAACAAACGATGTTTTGCAGGACGAGGACTACCATCGCCGTCAGCGCACTCGATCCCCTCGGCGGCGCAGCCCCTCGCCAAGGCGGCCATCTCTGCCCCCCCGGAAGCAAGAGATGTCTCATAAGCGCCCTGCAAGTCATAGCGGATCCCCCAGTCCCAGCGGGAAACGGCCCCTGACACACCGGCAAGAGGTCGGCAAATTTGAAGAGGAAGAAGTCCGTTTTGTCGAGAGGGATGTGCGCGTGCTGGGCAGAGAAAAGGACGATACCAACAGAGGGGGAGTCGACGGTGCTTCTGACGGCAAGGGGGGTTCAGGGTCGCGGGTAGTGAACGGGAAGGTTGCAATTTCGGTTGGCCCCCGAAAAGGAGGTGAGATGAAGCAGAGCGGGGCTGACATGGAGCTCGGAAAAAAAGACGAGAAAGAAAAGGACAAGGGGAGTGTTCTTGCGGGGGTTGACGAAAAAGCAGGGGACGAAGGTGGTATCGAAACGGGGGGGCTGACGCAGGGGGCTGAAGACGTTGGAGCTTTCCCCCTGGATGATGGCGTTCCTGTGGTAGGTCTGGAAGGGGAAGCTGAGAAAGGGGAAATGGGAGACGGTGGGGAAGCGACACGAGGGCGAGGGGTCGATGGGGGGGCCTCTGAGGGGGCTGGGGGGAACGTCAGCGGTTTCGGAGAGCAGCGAGAAGAGTCAGAAGAGAAGGAACTCTTTGAGAAGGACGGGCCCGAAGAGCTTGGTGCGCAGAAAGGGAGAAAGAGTAGCAGGTGGGATCGGAAGGCGTCGCCAGATATCGAAGAGGAAGGAGAAGTTGGTCTAGGAGTGGAAGCAGAGATTGCACACGGCGACGGGGAAGTGAAGGAGAGTGAAGATGCAAGGCACGGCGACAGTTCTCATGATAGGACGGAGGGCGCTTCTCTTGAGAGGAGGGGGGATGATCAAAGGTCTGTAGAGATGGGGGTGGATGAGAGGAGGGGTGAGGCGGAACGGTTCGAGAAGAGAAGAGAGGAGGATAAGTACGAGAGGCGGGGAGACGACTGGCGGGAAGACAGGAGGCGGGACGAGCGATATGACGACGAGCGGCGGAGGGACGAGCGCCATGATAGGGCCCCGGACCGTTTTGAGAGGCCGAGGGGTGGGCGATTTGAGGATCCGCGGAAGAGAAGGGACGATCGGTATGACAATGAAAGTTCCAGAGACCGTCGGTTCGAGGACCGTGGGGATCGATTTGAGGGCGAGAGAGCGAGAGAAGGGCGGTTCGATGACCGGAGGCGCACGGAGCGGGACCACGGACGGCCAGACGATAGGAGATACGAGGGGAGAGGGTATGGCGACAGAGGTCACCAAGATCGGGGCTATGATGGTCGGGGCCCGGAGAGACCGCGGCCTCCATTCCGAGAGGACAGAACGGAACGTCGTGACGGGCGGAACTTCGAGGAGAGGGGCTGGGAACGGGGCCGGGAGCACGCGGCGAAGGCAGCACCGTATGAAAGACCCGAGACTATGCAAGCAGACCGGGAGGAGCGCGCGAGGAACTCTGGCAGGGGGGGGTGGGGCGCACAGAGGGGCGGGAGTTTCAAGCAGCCAACGGAAAAGTGGGGCCATGATAAGTTTGATGAGATTAACCAGCAGGGAAATGAAGTCGGAGAGATTGTGAAGGAGGACCCTTATGCCAAGATAGAAGCTCTGTTGGCAATGTGATCTGACATCTGTCAAGGTGACTCATGCAATTGTAGGATTCCTGAGTCTGACATGCAAGTAGAGTTGCTCGGATCGAGTTGCTCTGCTCTTTTATGTTGGTGCTTGTTGCTCCTGGCAAGCTAGTCAGGACGGTGCAACATGTGCGACCGTCGTGCATTGCATGGGTCAACCAATTCACAAGTACATTTCTGGTATGCATCGTTAGTCGCCCATCATTGCAGCTGCCTGCACACTGACGGATCAGAGATTCATGCCTGGTCATCATCATCGTCAATGCGCAAACTGAATCCTGTCATGCACCGCCTGAGGGTGAGAATTCTGGATGACACTGACGCCCTGCGGGCCGCGCCGCCGGTAGCTAGCTGCACATGACGACTGTGCATGGCACGTTGATGCGCGCGCGGTTGCAGATGCGCATGGCGCGGCCGCCACATTGATGTGCACGGTTTCATGTAACAGGCATATACCGTATACCCGGATGCAGTGTCACCGTCACCCGTGGCATGGTCCCCCGATAAGCTCTTCGGCGCATGCATTTTATGGTGCATGATGCGCTGAGCAATTACGTACAGACGCATTTGCCGTCCATCAAGCGCAACCGGGCGGTGTGCTCAGTAGATACTCTCAAGTGTATCAGGCTAGTGCAGATTCACGACAATCAATGCGTTGGTAAGTCTTAGTATGTTGCCAATGGGGACTCTATAATGCATGCAGTGTTTACACACGCTCCCTGAATAGAGCATACCTTACTCCGCCAGCTGTAGCTAGTTGAGATTGTGCATCACTGAAAGATTCTTAACAACCCATCATCTTAGAGCAACTTCGTCACGCAACAAGTCTACACGATTTAAGCATCAAGAGTTGCATCTTTATCCGCAGCTCAATAGCCCTAGAATTTTCCTTGGCACCAACGGTCACGCGCAAGTGAGAGATGGAAGCCGCCAAGCTTTCCAAGAGCTGCACTCCACCTGGCAACACGAGAATTAAGGCATCCTATGGCATCCTGACATGGATTTATGGGCCGTAGATCCTCTTGTAGGTGTTCTTTTCGACCTGCAGAAACAGGCCAGAAACAGGGGAGTTGGGCTCTGCGACTTCACGAATGACCAGCTCCAATTTCCCACCAGCTTGGCAGAGTCAGAACAAGACTTTACCAAAACTTTACCAAGGATTTGCAGTACCCTTACTGTTGGGGAAATCTTTGTAGATTGATGGAGCGCCGCACACCTCTCGAACCACCTTCGACGGAAAGCTTGAGGCCGAAAGTGAACAAGTCAACGAACGCGTCTTGTTCAAACTACGGCAGGCCGAAAAGGCACGGTTTTTGTAAGTGAGTTCCTGGACACATATTAACGCGCCTCCTTCACACTTACCACAGTCAGCATGGAAGCGGGCAGCCAGGCGGGCGCCGTCAGCACTCCCGACCAGGCGACCTGAGAGCACAGAGAAAAAAGGTCTAAATTTCAGGAGGTCGTTTGCGCAGACCTGCAAATGACAACCGACGGCGGCAGCCAAAAGGAAGGAGGATCGCTTTTGGCTCGACAGGCTGATTGACATGCAGTCGTCAGCAGAACGCCAACTACTAGGCTTGATAAGACTCTAAGGCGCCCTCTCAAGTGAGCCCCAATGACTTGTATGTTTGCCTACGATCGTATCCCTAAGGTCGAACTTTGGCTGAGAGCGCGAGCTCGGCGCTCAAAAAACCGGACGACAGGTATTGGGCAACAACAGACAAAGGTCCGCATGCTTGCACCAGCAGCTTTTAGGGTGTGAAAGGAGACTGCTTACGTAATCACACTCATTCCGGAAGTGAAGCTCGGCATTCACGAACTTGGAACCGGAGTGAAAAGCACATAGCGTACGGCTAATCTGGTATCTCAAGGAGTCCTCTCAGGGCAGCTGCATTTTTTGGACTGTTTTGGATGGAAGACTAGTGTCCGAGATCTGGCCGGCAAACTTATGCTGTTTCGCACGAATATCATTGCAGAAGGTCAATACGTTGAACAGAAAGGACTAGTATGCTCACCAGTGCATATTCGCCAGCCTGGAAGATCCGCACGTCCAGGATCTGCCAACACGAAAATGAGGATCAGAGAGCACTTGATGCAACAACAGGCGCAAAGTGCAAGACACAGAACTTACAGCCTTCATCAAGGTACTTCAAGCGAAAAATACCGGCCGCAGACAACAGTTTTTCTGAAAGGTTTACTAAGGAATGGATCGTTGGAGATGCTGATGAAATCATTAGCAGACTGCAGCAGTCTCAGAAGTGTTCCGCCCAACGAGAGTCTGGTCCCATCCTCCGGTGCCTTTCTTGATAGCACCGAGATTCCCGTATCACGCAATGGGGCAAATACACGCCTTTTCAACTTTTGTTACCAGGTGACGTTTCGACGAAGAAAGTGCAGACTGAGTACGGTGTGAAACATGCACAAAAGCTGGTCGAAGTGAACTGCTCACCTCCCCTCTATCCTCAAAGACGTAGTCGATCCCCTTGTAATTTCGGGGGTGGTTTGTTGCTAGCGACTGCAGACAAGGTCGGCTGACGACATTAGCAACGTAAGCTTTTCTTGCCAGTGCTTAGAATTTCCCGAGTGAATGTATGTACCTAACTTCTGCAATATGAAAGAGGATATTGTAAAACGGCCACTGCACAGGACAAGTGCCTTGACTACTTGTCTCAACTGCTTTGACCCAACCTTAAGTCTCATTCAAGTCGAGCAACTTAGTAAACCTTTCGTTTTATATTACCATTAGTCATTTCTACAGGCCTTGCGTGAGACGCAGCAACCAGGGTCCTTGGTATGACTAGCTCTGACCATTCAAATCTTAGTGAAAGAATGGCCAACTGCAGGACGTAACAGCAGCTGGACAGCTCTGTTCCTGGTATGCCCCAGGCGATTTTCCGAAAAAGGCCAAGAGAGCGACGTTGAAAGAAAGGAAACGGCCACTCGCCTCAACGCTGTCGTAGTACATGTCCTTGTCCACCCGTACGACCTGTCCCTTCTTCACTGCACAGAAGCAAACACCAACGAGAAACGTTCAAAATCAACAATGTTGTAGTCCATCGACGGCGAAGCTGCTTTGCATCTTATGAGATCTCTGCTCCTGAGAAACACTTCGACGGTCTTAAGGAAAGCAATGAGCTTGGATAGAACCAAGGTCACCACATGGGGACAGACAAGGCTACTATGGGGGTTTAGAGCGGGTACAAGTGCGGAGCAGAGAACAGCCCGCGTTCAGATACCGTCGTTTGAAGCTTATCAATATCTCAGCCTACAGATTCTCAGCAGACCTCTTGTTTGCAACTGCATGAGGATGCACCGTGGCAAATGGGGCTGGCAAGCTCGTCAATTTTCTGGACACTTTGCCCAGAACGTAAGTGCGAACCTGCGTTTCTGTCCTCTTTGAATCAGGAATCAGAAACATGGCAGCCTCCCTGGCAATCGGAGCTCCAGCCTAAAGCAACTGCTGAATGCTGCTTCAAACAGCTCAAAGGTAGAGTGACCTACGTGTCGGCTTCGCCGGCTTCTCTGGCTTTGCCTCAGCTTCCTTCGCCTCTGCACCTTTCCCTTCTACCTCGGATTGTGTTGGAGGCAGCTCCTGAGTGCTGGCGCTAGCTTCGGCGGCCGCCTTCAGGACCAGAGAGCAGCTCCGGGATGGCTGGTAGTGCTGCAGAATGATAAGAGATTCAATTCAACATCACGAGAAGCGAATACTTGGTTCCAAGGATCTCGATGTGCAAACTATACCCCAGGGGAACTCCCATGCAGCAGTCGGTCAGCGACCGACAACTTGAATGGTCCACCTAGCTTTGACAGAATATTGTACGAGTTGCCTGCTATGTTTCTCCCTAATTGGCGAAGCACAAGTCAACTGGAGATGTTGTATGGTATGCCACTATCCCTATCAGGACAATAGTGTCACTATGTTCTCTTGATGTCTGTCAGGATGTAAGGGTCATTCTTCCCATTGCTCCATGTGACTTTTCCAAAGCTGTTCACACTGCTGTCCAGATACTCAGCAGTTTCTTGCGAGAGGACAGACGCACACGCAAAAAGGTCCTGCTTTGGAATTCGAACCAACATCATCGCAGGAATGAAGCACGACAGCGGCGTGCACTATTTGATTTTGCTTAAGCAGCGGCGTGCACAGCTGCGCATGATCACGCTGGACAAAATGTCCACCAAGATGATCCATTCTAGCTCTGGTGCATATGTAGCCAACAGCAATTTTGAAAGTGCTCTACCAGGAATCCTTCTCTAGAAAGCCAATGCCTCAGAAGCAAGTAGCCCAGAGAAACTGAACAGACGGACACAAGTTTGTGAGGCCGAGGGGCACATTGGGGTTGCTTTGCATTTCAGAAAACCGGCTGTCTCTGGAGAAGGATTGGTAATCAACTCTGGTCATTGCGTATCTTTCACCACAAATGTGGGGCCTCGCACTCATTGCATTAGGGTTATCATTGGTGTTTGAGACAATGCTTGCTCTATGCACATTTACACACGGCTAGGAAAGCACATTTCGAATCTGTGGCGGTCAATGCTTTATATCTGGCCTGATTGACATGGATCAAAAATGCTTCTCACGGTAAGAAGCAGCTCAGCTTATGCTGTGACAGAGACAAGCATCTTTCAACACTTTTGCTTCTACCGTCACCCAAAGTAGTATTTAAACACTCTTCTTACCTTGGGCTGCGTGGGAAAGGAGTTGTTTCTCGGGTGCTCCATCCCCGCCCGACATCTGCAGATGCCATTCACCCAACGTGATGGCTGCCGGTTTGCCACCACATTGTCCTGTTGGTGGAGACCGATGCTTCCACCAAGAGCGCTCTGCCGCAATGCAGCAGCGGTGGCCGCCATGTTTCGATCCTCTTCGCTGGCGCCTCTTGGGCCTGTCTTCTAGCGCTGCTTTATCTGTTCATGGTCTTCAGCATTCAGCCCTGTCCTACCGTCAGCAACAGGTGGTTTGAACGCTGCTCGCTTGCAGCGCGCGCATAACAGGCATTCGATGTTCGAATCATGGCGGCCGCGCGGATCTGGCGGCCGCCGTCGGAACCCTCGCCGCGGGGCTTGATTGTAAGTGTTTCTGACAGTACACTGTGCAGGGGCGGCGCGAGTCTCCAATTCCCCCCAACTTTCTCGGCCGTCCGATGGGCCGGGTTCATCCGGCCGGATTCAGCTGAACCGAACGGAAAGTGCCCGGTTTGGCCCAGATCCCATAAGCTATGGACGCTGGGCCACCTTCAAACCCCCATGCAGTACAGCCAGTGTCATAGTGTGTCACTGCAGGGCAGCATTGCCGGGGCCTGAGCGCCTTTCCGATGGGAGTGGGAGCAAGCCTGAAAGAAACGACCAAGGAGCTGGTCGCGCCGCAGCCCGTCCCAGCTCCAGTGGCTCCTGGTGTGCAATCTAAGGTGTGTATGTGTATGCAGCTTGCCATTTCTCTGATTCAGGTTTCTTACGGGTGCTCAGATGTTGTGGTCACGTTGTGGAAAATTCCAGTAGAGTAGGTTGACGTGCTATTGAGTGAGTGACTTTCTGACGTACTGACAGTCTCATATGGCAAGTCAAGCCAATGCATCAAAAGTCGTCGA